AGGGGGGAAAAGATATATCCCGTAATCAGACATGCTGGCATGTCAGAGAGGGTATTAATTACGTCTTTTGGGATCGTTTTGGTAGTAAATTACGCCCCATTCGGCAGAAAAGTACTTAAGTACACCCACCTCCATGGACCACCAATGCATGCTTTGCATGCATTAAAAACACTCTCTTCCACCCCTAACCACCTAACCCCCTAACCCCCTAACTTCCCCTAACCCCCTAACGTTGTGCTGCATGGACAATACCCCCCCTAACTTGGTGCCCAAAGTCCACCCTAACTGGGGGGAGTGTAAAAAGGACCCCTCAGCCAGCCAAAAGATGTATTTAAGACCATCAACTCGGAAAAGGCGTAATCTAGTACCAAAACGTTCGAAAAGACGTAATTAAGACCTTCTCTGGCATCTATGTACTTCATGTCACGTGGGTAAAAAGTGAGACGCTTCAGCGTACATGTCTTCATCGCTTCTCTATCACATGAATCAGCATCTACTCTTCTCTCAATCAGGAAGATTCGCTCACCCGGAACACTATTATACCTGCAAACATGGCGCTGGTGAATACCAATGCCTCATATATGAACCAAAATATAGCCCATCCTGCTTGGTCAGTTTCTCGGACACCTCCGTGACCCCGACTCACCAGCTCTGGGCCACCCGAGAAGATGACTGAACTGTGAGCAGTCACTTGAATTCCGCTTGTCGTACAAAGCCTCATCTACATAATCCCACACGCTGTAGAATAGGTTCATCACTCCGAGGAAGAGAACTGTGCGTGAGCTTGATGACTGTTGGTCTAATCCTCCCGAAGCCAAACGTACCATAATACCGCAATGCCTGACTCATCAGCAAGAGGACGTCGATATTATGACACACTCACACTGCCATGATCGCCGAACCATAGACCGATCAATACGGCTTCACAGATAATTATACTTCCAAACGCCCTGGTAACATCAGCCACGTTTTCTGTCCGAGGGAGAGGCGAGGTAAGAATATCGAAAAACCTACACCCAAGAATCCGCTCGGAGGATAGGGACCAACATCCCAATATGTATAACTAAAGCGGCGATCTTGGACGCCACAATGTCGACTGATGCTCAGCGGGGATTACCTCCTCATTCTATCTTCTTCACTCACAGGCACAGAACTACCGTCAGCAGGCGTTACCAAAATCTTGGTAATCGATCACGACATCAGAAACTGACATGGAAACAAGCGGCATATGGTATTGAACACCACTGATGTCTGACGATGGGACGACGGGTCACGGATGCTTCAGTGAAAGTGGGATTCCGGTGTAATCCCACGGATGGGCTAGGGTTTGAAATCACGACCACTCACAATAAATAACCATCCCACGATAGACGATCCAACATATCCAGCAGACAAAGTCGCCACGGCTGACGCACTCCAATACAGTTGTGCCATCGTCGGTAAAGCATAAGGATTGTTAGGAACCCTGGGAGTCGTCCGCATCAGACCGGAAATAGTGGTAGCTCCTCCATCATTTGGATCTATACAGATTGACCAAACTTGACCTCCGCATAGTAAACCGATGGTGAGGTGACATAATTCGTGGATGGCAACTGTGAAAAGCTACCAGGTAAGCAATATGCGAAAGTAGCAAGGGGTCAGTGACAAAAGGGCGCTGCAATGAATGCAGAGCCCCAAACTTAAGATTTCAAGTGGGGTGACTCACCTTCAAACCAGCTATGACATCCCTGAGTATTGGTAGGTTCCACGCTATCAACACGATGATGAAATAGACTGAAGCGACAATGACTGTTGATGTTTCTTCTTGTCAGCTGTCGTCAAGTTACGAGTAGTAGTTACTACTCGTCCCGTCCTTGACCGGATCACAGGTCACAGGTCACTGCCGCTCGAAATTGACATGGGATGATGTGGTGGAAGATGGACTCACGAAAGTGATTTGGGGTTGTGTTCTGTCTAGAGACTAGCCAGTGGAGGGAAGAAGGTATGTCAGAGAAAGTTTGGTTGAGCTCTGGCAACGGTAACAGCGGTGACATCGTTTACGCCCAAAGTCAAAGTCTTCGTGAATGAGAGATTGTGGGTATGCGATTCAGAAATGAGGGAAAAGACAAAATATAATCAGAGATAATGGAGAGAGAGACAGGAGAAAATAGGAAAGTATTGGAGACTCGAATAGCAGGAAGGACAGTGAAGTGACCGATTGCGGAGTTGACAAAGACGTCCTTTCAAGGCAAAGCGAACGTGTCTCTGTCGCTGCCGGCTGCCGGAATGGTCAAGTAGAGGAAACGACAGTGAGGTGAAAGAGAGAAGATCGGCGTTGCTGATAATACAGTTAGAAAGGATCAGAATGACAAGAATCAGTGGTCAAAGACAAACCGAGGTTGGGTCATATTCTATCCTCCTCTCTCACAAACCATGTCCAAAGGACCCTCCATCATTCCGTGGGATCCGTGGTTGGTACGAGTAGAACACTCGGGATAACATTTCGGTATGAGCAAGTCAGTATCGCACAAGGCCTATGGTCTATGAGCATGACAAGGGATGTTGCCACATGGCCAACAGTAGTGTAGCAGTCTAGCAGCTGGCGGGGTATGAGGTACTTGGGTGCATAGAGAGACGGAGGGGTAAGCAAGTCCACAGAGCCAAACGGCTATATCGCCGGGAATACCCGATAACCCCTCGTGCTCAGGTTGCATTTGCACGAGGAATGTATGAAACTTTGACATCCTCACTTATCACTTACATTATGAGCACCAGCAGCACAGCAGTCACAACAGCTGTCACACCCATCCCTAGCGAGGATGTCATTGCGAGAAAGGTGAGCGTTGCGTACTGGAGTCCTACGTCGAGGTCAACTCGGTCGGGTCAAGGAAGGGTGAAAGCTTACGGCCAGTTTGACAATTGTGTAAGCCGTAGTCAATACTCAATCTTCACTCCTCACTCCTCGGGCACCAAAGTCAAGGCAGCTGGGATGATAAAGGGAAATCACTGACGGATGGATAGGTTGCCGATTTACTGGTGAATAGTGGTATCGGATTTGGAGTAGGGGTCGTGGCTTCTGTTCTCTTGTTCAGGCGTGAGTCTTCACCACCGTCTCCATCCTGAGAGATACTCATATCGGTTTCATCAGAGGTCTCCACACCTGCATGGTAGCTACTACTGAGATCAATTGGAGGGAGGGAGGGGGAAGAGAAAGACGGAAAGGGAAAATGCTGATCCCAGGTCGAGCTTGGCCAGTCGCTCTCACGACGGGGTAAATCCCTCCCCTGCATAGAACTTTGATCAAGACTGACGAGCAGTTTCGGTGCTGGCGTAGCATACACCAACGTCAATCTTGATATCTTCGAAAGGATTTCCTCTCGCTGACTAGCAGTGTAACTATTCCCTCAATCCTTATGTTCTACCCGGCACCAAGATCCTCCCCGCCTCGCGACAATAGATAAGGTCTTCCTCCCCCCTTCACTCAAATCTCGACAAGATACTCATGCTTTCCTTAGAAGAAAGATGAATGCATGATGCTCATACTGATGCGATCTGACTGGATGAATCTACTCAACGCGAGCCACTCGGTTTCTTACCTTGTACTTCCCAAGGCGCACCACCGATTTCCACTCCCCCTCTACCTAGAATTCTCCCCTGACCACTCTGCGACGATTCTGATACATCCCTTGGGATCTTTCTTTGTTCTTCTCCCAAGTAAGCTATACATGAGCATGAAGAATGAAAGCGGTCAGCAATGATAAAAGCTCACTGCGGCGATATAAGATGGCGGAGGTCACGACGAGGATAGGTAGGGAGATGATGATGGTCTGTCCTGTTAACGTGATGGACCATACAAAACCCAGTGACATGGCTCACCCTTAATCTCTTTGCATCTGGACTGAGAGGCGCCATGGGTTACTCATACTCTCGTCTAAACTATACGAGAATGAGGCTATGCAAAGGGGGAGAGTATAGCAGTACGAGTACTTAGAGTAGGAAGGCTAAAGGGGGAGGTGGTAAAGTGGGGGGACCGAAACTGGAACCGCTCAACCCCCCACCTCGCCGTCTTGCCCGTCTTTTCTCTCTTTTCCACTTTGACACTGTTCTCTCACCCTGTTTCCTCCCTAACCTCGTTCAGTCTATAGCCTTCTTGGTTTCATACCACCACATACAGATATAACAGTCTTCTTGAACAAATCTTCCAAGTATATCTCACAACAACTTATCCCTCAACACCCCGCGTCTTTGTCTATCTTTGACAGTCTTGTTGCCGCTTCAAGTCTTGGTTCTCAAGCTACTTCCTACCCTGTCTATCCTCTCTTGAACCCGCAAGACTCAGCAAGATTATCGATCAAGAACTGGAAACTCGTCGATACACCTCTAATCCACTGAATCAAGTACGCATTTTGACCTCTTTAACACGTTTGTGAGTCTTTACTGACGTCCGATTGAAAGATTTCCGCTGACGTCTGCCTGACTTGCCTTTGACCAAAGCAGTCTCACTCTTGTCAACTACAAATCCTCTCATCACGTCTGACATAATCCGAGCGACCTACATCGTATCATCTTGACCAAGAGCAATAATCTCGTGACAAAAGCACACCCGTATCAAAGCAAGATGAGCAACTTTCCACCTTTCCCACCTACCCGGACTACCGGACGATATTCCCCGAGTCAACCGTATGGCGATACTTCACCGTATTCCACTTCCCCACCTTCTCGCGATGCACCTTCTTACCCCTATGCACCGCCTCCCACCCTACCGACCCCCCCTTACAGACCGTACGACGCTTACACCCCCGAACCACGTCAAGCTTATGCATACGAACAACCCCGTCGTTCGTTTGAATCTGGCGGGTATGACCCTTATTCTCCTGGGAGACCCTCCATGCGTCTACCTCCTCCCCCTCCAACCCTCCTCCCACAGGTAAAAGCAGATACCTACATCCCAGCTCCTATTCCTCCGCGACCAATCTCACCACCACCGAAACGTGTTCCTCCCGTCGTCGATCGTCGCATGTTTCCCAAAGAAGGCGAGTCACACGAGTTGAATCTCATCACGCAACCTACCATGATCACCATTGGCAGCTACACCACGGCTATGTATATGCTCCCACCTAGTCATCTGCCCATCACCAAATACGTCACTCTCAGTCGAGACGACGCGCTGGATGTTCATCGTCAGATGTGCATGCGTAATCCCTCCGTCTGGTATGCCGATGGAGCCGCCCGTGCCGGTGAAGGATGGTCATCTGCCGTCGAATGGATCATTGAATCCTCCGCATCTGGCAGTAAGATGCGTGGTGCGCTTGATGGTGACGACGCGCTCAATGCGGAGATTGGAGGTATCTGCAAAGCGGCCGAAGGGTTCCAAGAAAAGCTTCACCAAAGCATCAAAGATTCGAAACCTATCAACCACGAGTTGATCGTCTTCAGCAGCTCGCAAGCGGCCATTGTCGCTGTCGATACCGGTTCCCGCTCCGAGTCCTTAAGGTTCGAACGCATCTGGAGGGAGATATGCTCAGAGTTCTTACAAGCGAAGATGACACTTGTTTGGCTTCCGAAGAATCCTCAGTTGGAAGGTCAGGTCTTGGCCAGCAAGATTGCTTTTGTCGCAGCTAGTAATTCCTACCTGAAACGCAAGAAAGAAGGTCTTTTGCCGGAAGCTTTCCGTCGGGCAGGTGCAGGAGAGCCGGCTCCCGGTGGCAGTAGTGAAGCTGGACCTTGGCAGAGGGGAGACGCCGATCCATCGAGGATCAAATTACCTTTCGAAAGACCTAAACCATTACTCATATCTCCCATTCTCGCCCCGGTGTCGAAATCGTCTCCGGTTACGAATGGTCTCAAACTAGACATTACCGATCACGGTGGTCGCGACAGCAGGTCGTCTTCTGTCAAAGCGCCTCGACTATCGTCTCCTGAAACGACCCTACCCGTCACAGAGACGGACGAGGAGGGTATGCAGGTGAAAGAGGGATCCGTCTTTGTGACCAGGTATGCATCTTCTCATCTCTGTATCGTAGGAGCTAATGGGCAGATTCCCTAGTGAAGTGTCAGCGAAAGACCTCGGAATACTGTTCTCCCAATTTGGTAACATGTGAGATTTTTCTTTTATGAACCATCTCACTGTTGCTGAACCTCACAGCGTAGCAGTTGACATTTACCATGTTTCGGCCAATCTTCCCAGATTCGCATATGTTGCTTATTCAGAAGATGAAGCAGGACCTTCTGCCATCAGTGCGCTTCACGAAAATTCCGTCCAGCTCGATACTGACTTCGGTCGCGCGAATTATGCCGACCTCGCTGTGTGGCGTAATTGGTCCGGAAATCTCGTGGTCGTCAAAGCCGAACCTCCCCGTTTAGTCCCCGCAAGCGTGGCGGAGAGCTTTCCCGACCTTCCCGATTGGGTCAAGGGAGACAAGAACGGTGTTGCCGGGGCACAGACGGAAGGTCGTCATGTGGAAGAGGTCCACAAGATTGAGGACGTACAAAGGAAACGGTCTAGAGAGTTGGAAGAACCTGGACAGGTGGAACCTGCGTATGTCCGCCCTTCCTCCCAACAGCTAGATGATCCATTCGACTATTGGATCCACCGAGTATTGTCACTCCCCGCTCAAAGCTGTACCGCTGACATACTAGATCCCCAGTTTCACGTGTCCGATCACCATCGCCCAAACGACCTCGTCAGAGCTCTGCGACTGAACCACAGGCTGAACAAGAAGTGTCAATCAAAGTCGAGCCTAAGACCGACCTAACGACCTCTCCAATCCTCCATACTCCCGCGCAATCAAGGGATGAGCAGACGTACAGAGAGGAAGTCAAGCCTGATCGACGCCCCACCCCTCCACCTACGTCGACATTTGCCCTACCACCTCGTCCTGTCGATCCGCAAGCCATGAATCGATCTTTCCCCATGCCTCCAACACCTAGTACGGCAGTGGTCGAACGATCTAATAATGTGTCACATTCTCCTCTTCCTCATACTCCAGCCAGTATCAACTCTCAACCTCCCCAGCCTCAATCTCAATCCTCGGCCCCTGTTCGGTCATCCTCAGCAACACCAAGCGCGGGTCGAACTCCCAATCTATCTCAGACTCAATCTCAAGTACACTCTCAGGGTTCAGCATCCAACAAATTACCACTCACCAACTCTGCGGCAGAACCCATCGATACTCCCGTTCAAATCGGTACCCAGACTCTCCGTCTTTTACTTCACCTAGTCCGTGACGTCTTGCCGAAACATGACCCATCTAATTGGATTGCGCATTCTTGTCTCGTAGCTACTGAAATCGACACGGCTCGTCGAGGTCTTCAAAAAGATTTGTATGCGACAGATGAGGCGTTCCTCTCTGGCAGAGAATTCGAACGTGTCTTGGCTACAAGAGGTTTCACTCCCGCTCGTGTGGATACATTCATCAAGAAAGTCCTTGGGGTATTGGATGGAATAGCCATGGCTGAAGAAGGTGAAATAGATGGGAATGTCTTGAATGATGATGTGGAGACATTGGAGAAAGAACTGGAAGTGGAATTGTCCAAGTATTCCGAACAGACCAAAGAGGCTATCATGTCAGGTGGGAAAGTGATGGAATATTTGAACAAGGGAAAGGAATTGCAAGAGAAGAAAAGGTTGGAAATTGAAAGAAGGGTAAAGGTTTTGGAAGGAATGAGTAAAATTGGAGACACAGTTTCTGCCGTGGTACGGTTCTTGTTGACTGAAGATAAGTAAATCGACGTTTCATGAGTCAAAACGAGCGTGAGAGGAAAGGTCATGGAAGATGATAGACAAGGGGATGAGAGGGGGAGTTGAAGTGGCCTGTAAGTGGGATATCCGACGAGATCAGTCTTCAATCAGCTCGAGATATGAACCGGCTCGAAGAGGAGGGATTGCGTAGTATAAGGGACAAGCATAAATAGGTGAACGCAAGGTCAGGTAGAAGGTCAACGTTACGTAGAAACATCATGTCATAGGTAACACATAAGGCGGATAGCTTGGTGCCTTGGAATTGAAATGTTACGGGATAAGTTATCTCATGGGAACATGACATGCATAAGGTTTTATGAAACAAATATTGGTAAAAGGAAAATTGTTATCTACAAAAGTGGAGAGGAAAGAAAACAATTGACATGCTTGAGGGAAATGGGAATGCTATGTTATGTTGGGTGAATGCTTTTCTCCCTCTCCCTCGATTCATCATCCTGAGCCCTGCCTCTTCTTCATCTTCATCCCTGTGGTCCTTCCCTCATCTTCATCCCTATGCTCATTCCTCTCCCTGACCCTCCATCCTCTCCATGTCGCAAGGAAGACGACCTCCGACCTCCAGCATGACACGCCTCGCCAATCGCAGTCTACCTCTTGGACCTTCACCCAACTGTGGGGACAGACAGTACGACCCCAACCCATCACTCAGAATCACCTTCCGAATCCCATTCTGACTCTGACTCCATTTCCCCCATCAACCCTTCTTTTTGACGGTAGCGTTTGTAGTCCTCGGAGGTCTGAGTGCATGCCCGACAGTCGGAGTCATACGAATGAGACTCGTGACATGGTCCGAAAGGGTTCTGTTCGCTTGCAGGGCTGAAATGTGGTGGTCTTTGAAGGGTAGAAAGGAGACGATCGAGAGAGATAAAGTTCATTGGGTTCATTGCGTATTTCCGATGTTTTTTAGTTGTTACGTGCTGAAGAGTTAGCGTATTCAGAAATCATTTTCGATCCCATTACACAAACCACCTCAATCCTGCCGGTCGTGTTGTGCCGGGAGAGGATGATGTGGTGTAAGTAGCACGACCAGGAAGAAGTCTAAATTATAGACTGGAACGCTATGAACAATGTAGTCTGAAAGGACCGAAGCGGGAGAAGGGGGCGAGTAAGATGAAGGTATAGGGGGAAAAGGAAGAAGAAAAAGAAAAGAACGAAGAGATACTCACAACAGACAAATCAGTAAATTTCAATCGACAATTTTCACAATAACCTGATGAAGTCTCCTGTGACCTAGCTTTGAAACCAGCTTCTACCTTTCGTCTATTCGACTCTCTCATAGACTTTGTCACCGATGGATCGTCCTGCGCAGGACCTCTAGCTTGTCGTAACATTCTCAACAATTGTTCTTGAGTCAAAAAAGTCTTTTGAGTTGCCATATTTGAAGAAGACACAGTTTGACTCATAGAAGCTCTCCTGGTTCCTACTGCTGAAACCTCATCATTCAAATCGATCATGGTTGTACCGGAAGAAAAACCTTTTGCAGCTGCTATTCTCGCATTACCTACCAAGACTTGAACTCTTTTACTCAGTGGTACCATTTTCTTCACTGGTCCGACTAGCGACAATCTTCCTTCTTGATACATTGGAGAATGAGCAGCTGTAGAAGTGGAGGTAATGTTGGAAGTGAGTACCACTGAATTTCCAGAAGCGTTGATGTATGGTTGTTGTCCTGCACTAGGGAGTTTAGGAGTACCTTGAAATTGTTGTAAAGAGGTTGCACGTCTTAGATTATGTTGAGTGGGTGGTTGTTCACCATTAAAAGAACGACCATCGACGTATAAGGCCAACGCACGATTTTTCAGTTGATCGACAGGAGCGGGCAAGTCTGTCTGTGGACCGGGACGAAGAAAGGATTCGAATAGAACAGGGTAATTTAAAGAGTCGGTGGGTCGAGTAAAAGGAAATTCTCTCATCATGATAGTACGATGTCGACCAGTGGCATCTTCTATCAATACGTATTTGGAACCAGGTTTGAAGTAATAATAGTCCGGCCGAGGCGCGGTCAAATCACGTTCACGAGTTCCGTACAGCTTTTCTTCTTGAAGAAGGGTGGAGAGAGAGTCTTTGGTGGTGGTGACAACAGGTGCGAGAGTGTCAAGCATTTCAGTGAGTTCTGAGAATGAGCATGTGTACTGACATCTTACTTGAATTTTGACATTATGGTCTGAGTCAAAACTTGTTGGCCCGGATTAGATGACCATTCACTTCTTCAAATTTGGTCAAGTGAAGCGGAGGGGCGGAGAAAGGCGAGAAAGGAAGAGATCACTCACTCTTGATAGACCACACCTTGATGTTCATAGCCTCTGCTTTTTGTACCAGATCCGTCACTCCCATGTGATCATTGAAAGGGTTATGAGGTGAATGACGTGGAATGTTCTTGTTGATCACAGATAAGGGCTTTGGTTTCTGTGGTGTACCGCTAGATCGGACAATCAGATGGGTAATTTTTTGGGAGAAGAACTGATCGACTCGCTGTGTATCAGAAAACCATTTCTCGACCATCACGACCATTACTAGAGTGACAAGTGCGTCATAGATAAACCACACGATGGAAGTGGAAAAAGTCTTCACCAAGAAAAAGAGTCAAGTAACAGCGAAAGATGAAACAAAAAATCCACTCACCGCTCCCAATTTCTCAATCCTGGGTTTCAAAGATTTTGCAGGACCATCCTCCAAATTAATCTCGAAATGAAAGACCAAAGTAGGGAATATCTTGATCCATTTACTGGTCCATTGATCATTTTGAATCTTATACATCTCTCTCGTTTGGGCAAGTTTAACATTACCATCTTCTCCTTTGATTCTTTTGACCATATTCCCTATTGCTTGACTGTTTACATTCTCTCTAGGTCTCTTAATCCCAACACTATTCCCAGGAACATCCTTCTTCTCCACAGACTTGTCCATTCTGAGGTGTATCTTCGTATTCTCGTCGTTGATCAAGAGAGTAGGTGAAGGTAAATTGGGTGCGAATACATCAGGGAAAGGTGCTGGACGGGGAATAGAATTGAGTAAACTTTTTGATCCCAGTGAGACTGATGGTTTTCCTATTCCATTAGATATAAAAGGGTTGTGACTATTAGGTTGTCGGGATGATGTGGGAAGATTCTGATCAATCTCATTCAAGATTCGAGATTTATCACCGACTCGTAGAGTGAGTTTGAGTTTGGTATCCTTTTGTGGAAGGTCTGGTGGTATTTGAGTATTCTTTGAGATTATTTGGGTATTCTTCGAAGAGAGAATAGATGATTCTATCCGGGTATTATTGGATGTACCGATGGAATCATTTGATTGGGTATTCTTTGAGAGAGACAAGGAAGAAGTGGTCGTGGAGTGTTTGATAGGTGGTAAAATGGATTGTTTCAATTCATTTTGAAAAGTAGAAGAGATAGATTGTCTTGATAGAGGAAGAGATGATTTATTCTGAGGAAGTATCGATCGAGTCAATGACATATCTTGCTTTTGTCTAGTGAAGCGTTCGGGGATGATATAAGGCGCGTCAAGTTTACGTGTATGAGGAGAGTTGGATGGTGGTGGCTGAGGCATGGCGGAAGGTTGAAGTGTACCGTGAATGCCGTGAAGGCTATGAAGGTTATGGATGTGTGATTGTGTATGAAGGTCAGATCTAGATGGAGTGTGGATCATGATTGGAAAAAGTCAAGTTTCTCTTGTTGCCAGAGACCACTGACTACTACCTTACTCCAGGGCTGTCTGTCCCGCACTGGGCGTGTTGATCAACAACAGGGAAGTAAGTGGTGGAGGAGTATGAGAGGATTGAGTGGAGTGAGATGGCAGAACAAGACATGCGGCAGCCTAGACGATCGAGGATTGATCGGTGGATGGTGGACGTGAGGAAGGGAGAGGGGGAGATGATCTGGATGAGATCTTTGCTACGATAACTAACTGTCTGTACCGAGTGGTCGACTTTGGGTGAAAAAAGACAAAGTCAACGTTACAAGGGGCAACGCGTCCAAACAATCACGTGACAAAGAGAGTACTTGGTGGCTGGGAAATGACACTGGATGCATCATCTTTTGGCTTTGTAGAGAACACATCCCTGACTCATGCAAATGCAAGTGCGCCACACGTCGCCCTACAATTCGTCGTGACTGTAAGGCATGTCCTCATCATCACCCCCACCAGCACCAGCACCGGCGTACAACTTGGAAGTTATAGGCTAAAAGTCAGCGCACAGTAGCTGAGGCGCAGGAGATCAACTTACCCCAACCGTGGCCTGTAATTCCGCCAATTGATCTTCGTAATCTTCCGCATCGGCACTAGGGTGGTCTTCAAGCCACTCAGTCTTCTCTTTTATAGCTGCCAGGATGGTCTCCTTGTCGTCGGACGAGATTTTGCCACCAAGACCTTCGGCGTCGTTTACCTGAGCCTTGAGGGAGAACACAAAGTCTGATGATCAGCTGTATGCCCGGACAAAACACCGTGGCAGAAATAGTCGGACTTGGTTGGAGGGGCAGCGGATAGAGAATGATAAGCGAGACCCACTTTGCAAAGCGTTCATCGATTCAATCCTCTTCTTGATGGCCGCATCTTCATCCGCAAACTCTTCAGCTTCACGGACCATCCTCTCAATATCATCCGCGGAAAGACGTCTTTGGTCATTGGTGATTGTGATCGAGTTCCCCTTCCCAGTACCCTTGTCAACGGCCGAGACTTTCAGTATACCGTTTGCTGGAACTCATCAGCACAAATTTGATCCAAGGTCAAAAAGGACTCACCATCAATCTCGAACGTGACCTCGATCTGAGGGACGCCACGGGGCGCAGGGGGGATGTTGGTCAAGTCAAATTCGCCCAGCAAGTTGTTGTCCTTGGTCATGGATCTCTCTCCTTCAAACACTTGGATTCGGACAGTTGGCTGGTTGTCGACGGCAGTAGAGAAGATGTTGGATTTCTTGGTGGGGACGACAGAGTTACGGCCAATGAGTTTGGTCATGACACCTCCAGTAGTCTCGATACCTGACAGAGTTAGCTGGGTCAATCGATGCAATCCATCAAGCACTCACCCAAAGTCAAAGGGCAGACGTCGATGAGAAGAACACCACTGCTTCCCTCCTCGCCAGACAGAATACCACCTTGAACGGCTGCTCCATATGCTACAGCCTCGTCAGGGTTGATACCCTTTGAGGGCTCCTTGCCGTTGAAGTATTCTTTGAGGAGTTGTTGGACTTTAGGGATACGAGTGGAACCACCAACGAGCACGATCTTCTGGTCAGTTCATGTTCACCTCACCGACAGTGTACTTACATCATCGATATCTTCCTTCTTCACGCCGGCGTCCTTCATCACTTGCTCCACGGGCTTCATGGTTTTTCTGAACAAGTCCATGTTGAGTTCTTCGAATTTGGCCCTGGTCAGAGTTTCGGAGAAGTCGTTACCCCCTTCAAATGCTTCAATCTCAATTTTCGTGCTCATTTGGGAAGACAAAGTCCTCTTGGCCTTTTCGACCTCACGACGGAGTTTACCCATGGCGCGGTTGTTTTTACTGACGTCGACGTCGGTCTTGCGTTTGTATTGTTTGGCCAGATAGTCAATGACCCGATTGTCAAAGTCTTCACCACCCAGATGAGTGTCACCAGCAGTAGCCAAAACCTCAAAGACGCCGTCTTCGATTGATAAGAGTGAGACATCAAAAGTACCACCACCAAGATCGTAGACGATAATTTGGGATTCCGATTTGCCTGTACGGTCAAGACCATATGCTGAATGTTAGCTTCATTCTCGTAACAATGCTTCGTCTAGCTCACCGATGGCGGCAGCGGTGGGCTCGTTAACTATACGCAGAACGGTCAGACCAGCGATGGTTCCAGCGTCTTTAGTGGCAGATCGCTGAGCGTCGTTGAAGTCTGTCGGTCAGCTCGGGTCTCGTCGATCAAGATGTGTAGCTCACAGGCAGGGACAGTGACGACGGCATGAGTGACTTTGTGTCCAAGATAAGCCTCAGCGGTCTCCTTCATCTTTGTCAAGACCATTGCGGAGATTTCTTCGGGTGTCTGATTGTCAGTTTTGCATACTTTTCTCATTTACGGCAGCCTTCTCTCGAAGAGATAGGTACATGCTTCCGAAAGGAGACCCGAAGAGGTGGTTAGGTCAAGTGAGCACGGGAGTGGAATACACTTACAAATTTCTTGAGATCTCCCCTGTGATTGACTTGAATCATCGGTTTCCCCCCTTGGTTGACTATCTTGAAAGGCCAATGTTTCATATCCCTCTGCACATCGTTATCATCGAATTGTCGACCAATGAGTCGTTTGGCGTCGAATACGGTATTTTCCGGATTTTGAGGAGCTTGGTTCTTTGCCGCATCTCCAATGAGACGTTCGTCTTCCGTGAAAGCTACCCATGAAGGTGTTATACGATTTCCTTGATCGTTGGCGATGATTTCTACTTTTCCTCCACGTTGCACACTGAGATTAGTGAAAATCCAAGCCAGGAGTGACATACACAGCACACGATAGCATGAGGGGTGGAACGTTTGAAAGGATATGCGGTACGAGGAGTTGGAACAGGGAAGGAGAACAATAGCTGTCCGCCAGAGAGTGAGAAGGAAAGTATATTGAAAGAAGATTCACTCACGCAACACATGAATAAGTCGTACCCAGATCAATACCAATGACCGTACCGAAATCATTCTCCTTTTCCTCCGCCTTGACCAAATTTCCAGCGGGTAAGAAACATATCACAGCCAGAAGGACGACAACGACTAGAGTCAATTTTGACAAGAGGGATGAAGTGGGGGTAGAGGAGTTACGTCGTCTAGGACGTGTATAAGCTCTTGGATATGACATTACGGGGATTGAATGCCGGGGATGAAGGAGGGAAGATAGTGAGGAAAGATGTCTTTATAGAAGAGGGGGGTTGGGGAAGAGGATCGACATTCCAACCTGGAACTTTGGGTGTCGACGTGGCAATCGATGGACGTGGAATATTCCAGATCCTATTTTATTTTATTTTATCCGAGGTGTCCCAACTTGCCCGTCAAAGTGTCATAGAAGCATGCATCCGTGGGCCAAGTTTCGTCCACGTCGACGTGGAAGACAGCAGCTAGCAGCTAGCGACTAGTGATTGTCGAGAGCAGCTTTGGTCAGCTATATCTCACATAATATAGCTGGACGAGCTGGAGCTATCGGGGCTCTCAAGATGCACTCGACGTTTCAACGATTGAACAACATCACCTCTCTCGCTACCACATACCTCATGGTCCTGCTTTCCCTCATCTCTATAGCTTCGTATCTAGCCCTTCCTCCAGTGAACATGGGCAAAATAGACGTCAAAGATTTGATCATGTCCGTATTTCTCTCCTCCTTCTTCATCTATCTCCCTCTGTATTCTGCCCCTCCCTCCCATCTGCTAGATCTCTATCTTTTCAACGATGTGCCGTCTTGTCACGCCATGGGAGGACATGGCAGCCATTCAAACACAAATGCATGGTACATCCATTAACATGCACTACTGCGGAATCTTGAAATGGGCGAGAATCTGACATCCAGTCAATATGGTCGTCTACGTCGCTACGCAGCCAAAAACGAAGAACTCGCTTCAATCCGATTTGACCTAACCACCGATCTTACCACTCTCCTGACTTCATACAACACGAAACAACTCTTTCTCTATCTCACCGCTTCTTATGAAACCGACCCTAGTCTCGACGTCCCTCAAGTAAATCATGAAGTTGTACTTTGGGACAGGATCATCACTCGGGCGGACACACGGGACTTTCGGGCAGTGGGAAATAAGATGGTTGGGAAGTCAAAAGGTAAGAAGGGAAGAGGAAAGATTAGGGTTGAAGAGGGAAAGAATGTTTATCCTTGGAGAGATCCTTCGGGTAGTTTCAAGTGAGTCAATCGCTTCGTATAACAAGTACCTGCTCTGCTCTTGTATCCTCTCCTACATTCCAGCTGGTCAAGGATCATCGTCCTGGCTTTCATGTGCACCCTTCCTAGCCACAAATCCAATTGAGTTCACATCATTTTAATCCTTACATATGCGACTACCCTCTCTGGTATTGCTGATGGTGATAGACATGAAATGCGACAATCGTCAACGCTGACATCTCAGAAACATCCCCTCTGCCAATCTCACGCTCCACTACTCTCTCATGCCTTATGTTGGCCTCATCTCGTCGGGCATAGCGGCCACTGCTCAAGGTCCTATCGCTCTTCCCGAGCCTCTTGTAAGATGACATGCACGAGCTCTTTGTTGGTGATGCGTGGTGCACGGTCCTCCCGTGTCGAGACCCTGACCGCTTCTCTCCTTCGTCTTCCTTTTCACGCATTACGTTTCAGCTTTCGTGCAAATACGAGTAGAGTGCTGATAATCCTCACCTTACTGCACCATCTGGCAGTGTTTCAGTGATTGACGAGTGACTGGCATCTAACCTGTGACTCGTCAAAGAGTGACTCTAGTGAATAGCATTCCGAGACGAGGTGAGCAGACAGATTCCACTCTCCGGTCTTCTCATCCATTCAGCTGATTCTGAATTGAGGCTAACCCTACAGATCCTCCTGCCGCACAAAGACATGTCCGACTCGGAAGTTGAAGATGAGAGTCTACGAGACAAGAAGAAGGCGAGTTCTCACTTTCGTCATGCTCGCTTCTCCCTTTTGATGGTAGTGAGGCTGACTAGATCTAGATAGAGTTGCAAGTGGATGTGAGTCTCACCTTTCTCAGTCACTCTTCATCACTCGTTCATACTCGTACTTAAATTCTCAATATACAAGAGTATTCGCTTGTCCCGGATGAAGAAGACGAGTTGATATTCAGAAAGCAGGAGACTTGACAATCTTCCATGTCAAAGTTACCACTACATTCGACAAAGTTTTCAAGGGTTTCGCAGACAAGTACGGAATAAGAGATGGTAAGTCTCCACATTTTTCTTTTCTCCTTTACATACGTTCATTCTCCTCTCTTTATATCCTTAGCCGTCACTTTCTCTCTGCTTCACCACTTCATGGCTGCTCAGCGTCACCTTGTCGCCAACATGTACAATCAACTCACCCCAGGGGTCTATAAATTCCTTTACCACTCTCACAGATTGGGCGAGAAACAGACTCCAGCTGATTTCGATATGCGTCCTGGGCACAGGTACGAGATCTCAGCTGAGGTTTCGCAGGTCAGTTCACGACTTATACCTTGTTCTCAGCTGACAGAGTAGGAAGGTGGTTGAAGCTGTCTCGTCATCCTCGCTCTTCATTCTGTTCAATTGTACTCGTATCGCTGTGATCTGTGGATCCGTGGGGTATGTGAGACGGAATGATCGCTTTTACGATGTGTACGTGTAACAAAGATGTACATTGAACATATGCAAATTCATTAGATTCCTTCTCGCTCTTCACCCGTTGTACAAGCAACTCAGGTCGGTCTCGGGGTGTGAGTCTCAGCGATCGCAGCGATCAGCGATTAGCCAAGCAGTGTGCTTGAGAGGGGGGATTTTACACGTGAGAGACTAACGGCCGGATCTTGCCAAGTCTATGCCAGCCCACGATCGATCCCCTTGCCGCCGGGTAAGATCGGATCTAAAGAGAAGGCTTGTCACCTCGAAGCTTGTTTTTCGAGTGGGTGACCTTTGCCTGGCTTCTGATTGGTCGGGATTCGAGATAACCGGGTGGAACTGAATTACCCCACATCCGGGCATTCGGAGCTTCTTATACCTTGACTTCTTCGACTTTGTCTTACTTCTTCATTCTTCCCTCGTGCATCTCATCAATCCTCATCTTCATCTTCAATCAATAGATTTGATTACAATTAACAAACTCTCTTCAATCATCAATCATGTCCGCTTGCTCTGGAGACCCTAAGAACTGTTCTTTCTGCGGAGTGAGTTCAGCCTTATTGTCTACCCCCTTACCAACCCAATTCCACCTCTCATATCCATCCATGCACTCGTCTTTCGTTCTTTTCTTCTCATATATCGTAACATACACCCCGTTTCCCCTTTGTTGCGTGAGAGTATCGGCCACATCAAGGAGAATATCATGTGGAAGGTCGAGTGTATGGTTGAAAAGGAGACGATATGTGCGTAGTGTTTCGTGTATCAATCGCTGACGACACAGAGCACCCCCGTCGATTGTGCGAAACATGAAGTCACAGGATGCACAGCCAATCCTACTCAGTGTACGGTGTGTGAGGGTAAGGGATGTGTAGCAGTTGAATGTACCGGGTGAGTTTTCGTGTCTTCTCTTGATTCAATCATCCCTCTCCGTTTGGGATCTTTTCCTACTCCCAATGGCCAAGCCGTCCAGTCCTCACCAGCGATTTACTTCTCCTCTATGTTTTGCCTGGATTTATGACTGTCTCCAACTACAGTCGATCGACAAGATTCTCGATCACTCTTACCCTTCGATCACTGGCACTGGTCGCTTTCCTCGCCATTCTTCCTGACCTTGCTGCCACGCGCGACTCATTCCCCACTTCTCCTCCAACCTCGCAGGTCGCTTGCACCTCCAACCTCGAAACTCTGGCAGATCCGCTGACAGGCAGAAACGTAGACTCGTGCCCTGCTTGCAAAGGAAACTTTTCTTCTTGCCGCAAACAACAATTCTCCGCCACGGAAGGTGTTGAGCATGTTCAGAAACCTGCACATGTGTGATATACCCTTCCTCTTTCACACTTCCTCACGTCCCAGGCAATCGTGGGGATCAAAAGTATGTACGAGTTGTTTGTAAAATAAGCATGCAGTAGTCTCGTTCACTGTATCACGTGTTCATACCAGCTTCACCTTACCGTACACATCCCGGAAAGAGAAGGTGGAGGAGGTATGACGTCTGTTACATCTCTTGTCGTCTAGCAGCGCCCTCGAAACGAGTGTATCCGGTCTGGCCCATGGCCCTTCTTACCTGTTGCCTGCCAATCAAGGGGGTTTCGCCGCTGGGTCGCTCCACTCGCCGCCCGCCGCCCAAGCAAAAGATGTTGATCAGGGGCGAGACGGGAGGAACGAAAAACCACAATCTAAACGAACAAAAAATCCCACCTGACGATCAAATGACGTCATGACGTCATCGGCGTCATTCCTCCGCCTTTGCACAAAGGGTTGAGGGTATCCACCCGACTGTTTCATCACATATAAAGAATGACATTTGACTCGCCACCTCTATCACTTTACTTCTCATTCGACTTTCGAACTCGTACAAACACTTTCAAGCTTATCCCTCAAATCATTTAAACAAACTCGATTTATCGTGAGTCTTTCATCCCTTCTCTTGTCCATCTCATTCACTCTCGCATTTGCGGCCTTCTCATCTCGGCAGGGCCAGTTGGGTCATTCCTCCAGCATCACGTGAAATGAGCCTGATCATTTCGAATGCTGGAGCGACCTCTGGCGGAATGGCTGTGAATATCTTGTGTGTCTACATTAGGATAGGAAGGCAAAGAGTTGTGCAAGATGAGAGTGGCAAAATTGGACTCGAAACTAATATCCCAGACAATGGGTCAAATCATCAGCGCAATAGGCAGAGGTATCATGGCCGTCATCAGCGCCATCGCTAATGTCATCATGGCTATCGTGGGAGGTATCACCACCGTTTTACTCGCTATCTGGGACTGTGAGTCATACCGTTTTCATGATCTTCTCATCCCACACCTCCATTCCAAATTCCTCGGTATGGGACGACCGCCTCATCCCGCCTTTCCATCACGCGCATGCCTTTCACCCCTCCCTGCCACTATTCGGGAAGAATTCACAACATCCTCACGATGACATATCCTGTTCTTCCATAATCCGGCCGAGGCAGACTCACACTCGTGTCTCGGCCAAGTCTGGTGACACCCTTTTAGCTTCACGACTTGGGAAACAGGTAATTGATTTGTACGGGGCTGACTCTACCAGTCATCACTTGCGGTTGTTGTTCCGGGGGTAGGAGGTCTAGACGGACTGGAGGAGGGGGAACGTTGTAGCGGGTGACGGGATAGTGAGTTTGGATTTGTTCATTCCATTTGTATTTAATCTCCCCGTGTCACCGCCCGACGTTATAAGTGTTCACATGCTCTCAACCTTCGCCGTTTTCGACCTGAGATGGGTTGAAAAAAAAAACAAAGATTCACAACTGACAGACAGAATATACGACTCTCTCGCCACCCACAAACCTTACTCACCCTTCCTCTCACCCCCTTAGTTCATCTTATTCACCTTATCTCCTAATACCTATGTATGCCTGTAGCTTAACCTCGCCGTGCCGTAGTACATGACATGCAACGATGTTCATATGTTCCTTTGGGTCAATAGCCTTATCAGTACTCTACTCACAACCCAACTTCCAGCGGCCGCGCTCCTCTGGCGCTGCTACGGTCATTCTTGATCCGGATGAACGTAAAATACTGACAAGGTCCCAATGGTTCAGCCGGGTCAGTCGAGTGAATATCATTTCGACTAGAGTGAAACCCCTCCGGAAATGACCCCATCAGCTCTGTGCTTACAGCTCAAAGACCACGACCACGACTCTCGGCACAAATCGCTTGCCAAGTATCGGTTTTGAATGGACGAAAAGGCAAACGAAAAGGAAAAGAAGAGATGATGGAGAAAGAGAGATGTTACGAGAACCGTACGAGACATCGACATGCATGAGGAAGATGATGAAAAAGTGAGTTCATGTCAGTACTTCATGTCATCTCAACCATGGTTGAACCAACACCAGCGGCCAAAACGACATGAAAACCCATGAGATCTATGAGGACATACGTGAGAATATATACAATCTTCCTCTCTGTTCATACACCTCCCTCGGAAGACCATCTGGCAGTTCTGTTCAATCAGTCATTCCCATGTCGGAGACCAATCTCATAATCAATCAAGAATGAGAACATCCACTCACCATTTCCTTTGCCAAAAGTCGTAACATGGCAATGCCCTCTGCGGGGATAGGATAATCGTGACCGTACTGACAACCGGGAATGTGACAATAACCAATGAGGTATTTACGATGACATGGGGGAGGATCAAGTGCACGAAGGTACTACTGATCTATCAGCCAAAATCTCCTATCTCTTTTGTCAGAACGACGACGCCTTATCCCTTGCTTTCCGTCCTTCTCATTAAAAGCCCGTCATTCCCGCCGTCACATGGTAATACTCATACCCACGAGGGACTCCGATGCACAACCCTGTCAGATGACCTCACCGTTGCCCCCTCCCTTCATGGAGGCACAGTTCCGGCCAGCGTGAGAGGTGGGGACCATCCGAGCCGGTCGTGCATCCGAGGAGCTCGTGAGGACGGATACAGGGGAATAGATAGACACAATTTGGAGAGTGCACTCACTTTATATTCTCTGGTACGACGTCGACTTGCAGGATCACCACCTCCGCGTACGTTGAATCCGTGTAACGTCGTTTCTCCGCCAGAATACCTTCTATCCCCTCCAAGTGGCGTCACGTTCGGGTTGTCTGCCCTTGCTTTGCCTTTCGAACGTTTAGATCCGCTAGCAGCCCTACTACTTCCCCAAGGAGGTAGTCTAGGTCCAGTTTCCACGCTATGCACAGTACTTGGAGTATACGACGTGACGCTCCCAGGAGACACTGGACGAGCGTCGAAGGAAGTCGGTCGTTGAACCCTTTTCACGGCTGAATGAGGGAGGTGGACAGATGGTCTATTCTCATCGCTTGACGGAGGGGAACCAGCAATGGAACCTTCGCGGTCGTCTATAGGTACCACTAACGCTTGTCGGATGGTACGTGTGGTACCGCGCGAGCTTGGGGACCGAGGGGGTACACGAGGACGAGTTTTGTACTTCCCACCGTCAGTCACGTTACTCAAAAGGACCTCGGTAGTTAGGGATGCCGGGGATGTGGGTCGCATCCTCGCTAGATGTTGATCGAGCAAGGTACCTCCGGTGGTGGATGCGATGCGCCAATTACCTTGGGTGGGCGGAATGTGTGACCAAGGAGCCGGTCGCAGGGGAGGGGATGATGTTCGAGTAGAGGGCGGGGGTGACTCATGAGAATTGAACTCCAGGTAGTGGGACGTCTCGTGAGGTGGAGTGAGTAGTGGGGTAGGGAAGTTCTTCGTCACAGGTGTGATCGAACGACTTGGGGATGTTGTCTCTGGGGTAGCCGGACGATTCATGTCACCCCGTGAAATTTGCTCCTGGAGATGCTCCCATTCCTCAGGCGAAGTGGAGAACAATGAACGAATGTAAATGACTCGGTGGTCGCCAAGACGTTTGAACGGATCGTCGTCAAAGTGCCTTGTCGAGCGGGCAGCGTAACATTTGGGCAATTGCTCATTCTCACCGAGATCGTCCAAGACAGGAAGATACGGTTTGTCCTGCTGGTCAGTTCGAAGTTTACTAACAGTGTACGGCTAGGGACAATGACAACGAAATCCACTCACTGAGGTCGCAGCAAGGAATATCATCTTACAAGACGCAATGCTCGCGAAAAGCCGCATGCTCTCTGAAGCGTCGTCAGCGAAGGTATAATGCATATGTCAGTCAAAACAGCTCACCTCGAATTTTTGCAGCGGGACATGAGAACTTCGGATTATCCTCGACGTCAACCACATAACAAAGGTCATTGTTCACGCTCAATCCGTCCAGGAAGTCCTGCAACTGGCCAATACCGTCGATTCTCCCAAGTCGCTTGAGTATCCCTGCCGTCTTTGACTAACTGGTCAGTGACTCTGTTATGGCTTGAGCAATCTCGACTTACGACATCGAGGAAAATCTGCACCAGGTACTTCGCGGGTCTGGGCTGTGTCGGATCGATGGTGCAGTACTGCTTAACGCGAGCGAGAACATTTGACAGCATCTTGCGTCCGCCGTCAAAACCCTCGCGTAGAAGATCAGGGTGGAACTGCAATATAAGCGACAGTCCATGATGAGGCAGAGACTCACGAGTCGCGGAGATCCTTCCAACATGATCACGCCAAAGTCATCAGCCTTCGCATCAGCCTCTAGAACATTTTGATACATGAAAGAGACTGACAACCGCGGTGGGCGGCAGCTTCGAAAGCTCTTCCATCATCCGTTTTTGCTCTTTCTCAGCTTGAAAAAGACGAGCGGCAACCTCTTCTTCACGCAATTCCCAAAGTCGTTCTTTGGCCCTCAGGTGATCTCGCTCTATTCGAACCGCGGCGAGATCGGTATGCGCCGAATCAAGTAGCGCACGAACTTGACTGAGTGATTCTTGCAGTTCACCCCTCTCCCTACGAGTCTCGGCTAGCTCCACCTCGACACGAGAAGGGCCTCGAGAGGGGAACAAACTTTCGAGTGGGTAGGTAAGAGGTTTATCGGACATTGCCCTGAGGTGTCAGCAAAGTCGCTATGAGGGTATGATCGAGGAAGACTTACTGGTTGAGTACCAAATTGAGTCTGTACGAGATCTCCTCTAGACCACCTATGAAGACGGAGTGGGCGTCTCTGTAGTCGACAAAGATAGAGTCCAATTCGCTAAGCTCGGTAAGTCCCAATAAAAGAGCGTCTCGCTGAGCGAGATGTCTTTTTTCCATCTCGCGATCCAATGTGACGCCTGAGGAGATTTGTGCGACCAGCGAGTTGGGTTCTTGCGCTACAGTGATAGTGTTCGTCGTGTGAGGAGGATCTCCTCTTTGAGGTGAGTGGATCCGTACGGCTACGTCGAGGATCCGATGTGGCTGTTCTATCTCGGTTTTACTGGACGGGGAGGAAGGAGAAATGGTCTTCTGAGCTTGGCCAATAACCGCCCCTTTTTCCACGAGATTAGACTCCGATTTATTGGCAACGGGAGTCGAAGTGCCCAGTCGAGGGGACGCTCGTGAACCGGTATGTGCTGTTTTGTTGGACGTAGGCGTCGGACAGGTAATACGAACGGGCTTGCTGACGGGTGGACTGAAGAGATCGCTGTCGAGAGGTATCTCGAGGGGTGCCAGATCCTGTGATTGGTCAGAACTGCCAGGAGTCGGAGATGGTACGGAGCTTATATAAACCGGTCGGAACTCCGGAGCGCGAGCAGAGAGAGAAGCGGTTCTGCTCGAGATCGACCTCTGAGGGGAAGGGGAAGTGGTGGAGATCGGAGATATCTTATCAGGAAGGGGGTAAGGACTGGGTGTCGTAGTAATGTCAACGATTTCGTCATGTAGAATGTGGTCATCGTCGGGGGCGTGTTTCTCGTCAGCCAGAATTGCGGGTTTCTCCATGGTTTCGTTGGAAGTTGGGCAGGTCGAAAGTATTGTATCTTTAGCTTGTGATTTATGATCAGTCTCGTGTGTCTCTGAAGAGTGGATTGTGGAGGTCTCGGAAGTAGCGTGGAGGGTAAGGCCTTCGAAAGATGCTTCGAGACCAGTTGCGACTTTGACCAGCTCGATCTTAGTCTTCGGTACATCCGCCAAGTCGGACAGATCGATGAGGTCGAAAGAGGACATTTTAGTCTGTCCGTCAGCCAAGAAGTCACGCAAAGAAAGGAGTCGAAAGGAAAACTTAGTGGAGGGTCAGACGATAACGGATGGGTCACGACTCACAGAACTCCTTCGAGCTGGAAGAATTGGTGAAGGCTTACAATCCCAACGTTATAAAAAGAAGAATGGAAATCCACGGGCGAAGAGAAGGAGTGTAGGAGCGAAAGAAAGGTGTGTTGAAAGTGTGAAAGAGTGGACAGGAGGGATGAGAAGAAGAGAAGTGAATAGACGAAGAGAAGAAAAGAGAAGAGAAAGAAGAGAAGGAGAAGGAGAAGAGAAGAGGAGAGGAGAGGGGCACCGGTCCAATGGACTCACATCCCTCGCAAGGCCCGTGCGTTTCCCTCATTAGCTCCGATGGTCGATGGTCCATCTATGCGCTGTATCGTGGTTCCAATCATTGATCACTAGGTCACTAAGATGATCGACATTCACTAGCGGCGACGGGAATCGGCGATGTTGCCGTAATGGTAGAACGGTGACGAGGTGACGAGGTGAGCGACATGAGCGAGACGAGCGAGACGAGCGAGGTTGAGGTGCTAGGTGCAGTGGGAAAGGAAATCATGGCAAGACTTGGCAACCTACAGGTCAATCAATCAGTATTCAGTACTCAGTACGAACGATATCCATGCGATGCATTCATTCAGTCACCTAACTTACTGTATGCACATGCAACATGCGATGATTGGGTGGTGCTACAATATAGAATACTATAAAAGGGACGGATTCTTTCTTTCCTCTTCTTCTGCTACTTCTCACTTCCTCTCCCTCTCCCACCTCTACCTCTTCCATCCACCTATCATCGCCTGAATGACCTCGATTCGTTTCTCCACCTCATACTTATACACAGCTCCATCATCTTCTCACATAAAGCCAACTATCGTCTTAAAAGTCCGCTCCAATGTCCCTTGCTCAATGATGTATCTTTCCATGTGTCACTTGTTTTGCCTTCCACGCCAGTGTCCATCTCGTCTGCTCTCAACGATGCTTGTCGATGCACCATTTCATCACTCTTTCTTATTCTTCTTTTCATCGCTTGCATTCTCAATTTCCATATCCTGACTCGACCCGGCAGACAAAGAAGTCCTCGACGTACTCTCGGTGCAAGTGGAGGCGGAGGAACTCATGAGCGACGAACGGGAATTCATGGTAACGTCTTGCTGGCCAGGCCTTGATTCAACCGGACTAGGTAGAACTTGTCGGATATGCCCTCGAGCCGATGGCACGGGTACACCGGTGAAGACCGAGGTGGCCTGTGCTTCCACGATAGATGCTAGAACACCGGGAGGAGGACTGGCTTGTTTGGGCTGTTGAGCGGCGAGATCAGCCGGGGGTGTGGCAGGGGAACGGGCTAATTGAGCTGGAGCAGAGCGAACGGAAGATGTATCCCGGAAGTAGGCACGGTTGCGCGAGCTTCCGGGGGGACGAGGAACATTTTTGCCGACTGGAAGTCAGCGCCAATTCATGAAGCATATTGCGGCAATAATTCGTGACAGGTTTGTTATACTGAGAGTGAAACCAAAGATGATGATCCAAACGTTGATAAATAGTGCCCAGCAGGGGATGAGCAGCAATGTTCATGGTTTGATAGGAAAGCAGACGGTAAACGAGGGCACGGAAAAAGGTGGAATTTCTGTGCGCAAAGGAAAAAGACGCACCTCCAATTCTGAGCTCATTGCCCAGATAATTGGCACGGACTGTAGCGAGGTTGGCATCTTCGCCAAGTTTGATATCCCACTGAGCGTGTTCTGAACAGTCAGTTCAACTTCCAGGGTGACAAAGTGTAAAGAGGAGAGTTGACTCACCGGCATCATCCCACCTGTCAGCAACGATATGCACGGTCCGATTTCCGCGCGTGAAGACAGTGATACTCTCAGGTCTGATTATCAGTACCCAACCTCATCGCGACGCCGCACGTCATGCACCATTATGCTGTCATCTTTCTGCTTGGTCGACACCTCGACGGTCATCAAGCACCTGAGAGATGAACGGAGGAAAGGGTCATGGGAAAGTGGTATTGAAAGAAGCTCGCGACCGAATATTGGAGGGACAAGACACTTACGCGAAGGCCGGCAACCAGACCAATACTTCATATTCTGCGGCTCTACTCCTGACAGCGATTCTGCCCTCCGAACCCTTGATGACCTCTATCCACTCGCCGTCCTGACCAACAAGCAGTTCAGGATCGAAATCGACGTCGGGTCTGTTGACCGCATCGCCGAACGACCTAGCTCTGCCGGAAATCGAATTGCGCACCTTTGGCGGACGCGCCCAACGTGGCATGTTCTCTTCAGCGTCGACGCCACTACTTGACGAGCTGGACGAGTTGCTGCTGCCACCTGACGCAGGTCTGGGGTCGGCACTTGACATTCTGCGAGTACCGAGAGCGGGGTAGTGAGCAGGGACTGCAGTGGGGGCGGAGATGATACACCCTGTGGTGGGCGACGAAGCGACGATTCGAAGCGCCGACGTAGAAGCAGGTTCTTCCGAGGCACGACGGGACGAGTACGCAAATGCAGAAGCTGTTGCCCGAGCGGGACCGGGTCTCACGGGGGAGTCAGCGGGATGGTTTCCAGTGTTTTGGGCTGGTTCATTGGGAGTCAAGGGTGGATTATGGTGGGGAATGAATCTTGGATTACGGTTGGGATTGGGATCAGAATTTGGTGAGGGTGGGTTTTGGAGGAGAGCTGCTGCGTCGCGAAGACTGGCAAGACCTGGGAATTCTCCAGGTGGGGATGTTGCCACCGACCGGGGCATATTGGGTGGCGTATCAAGACTGCGGCGGGAATGTGGAGAGCGAAGGATTGACGGATTTCGACGAGAAGACACGGCGGAACGTTGAGAAGGAGGGAGAAACATGATCAGCGCTGCTCATATGTCGATTGGTAGCGAACACAGTGATATGTTTCAACTACCATTGGGAAACGGATGTGAGAGGGGATGAGACAGAAAGCGAGCGTCCTCCTCGGCCACAACTTCACACAGGACGATACAGAGTTGCACAGCATTGGGCATGAGGAGTGGAAACGCGGAGAGGGTAAAGCGAGGTAATGACGTCGAGCGGGAGCCCACCGACATGACGCGCTTCACGCCTGGTGAAAGGGTGAAAGGAGGCCCGTCCCGCGGTCTGAGACACGTATGGGAATGTGAGATATGATCCGACCGAAGCAAGTCTTCAAGTGACCGAAACTGTACGAAGAGGGAACAATGGAGGTTTGTCGAGGTGGAGCGTGGATGAGAAAGCAAGATGAAAACTTTGCAGATCATCGTGGGAAGGGCGTCAAATGTATTGAACTCACCTAGCATGTTTTTTTCTCCAACTTCCTTCCCTCTTCAAGACATTGCTTACAGAGCGCGATGGACCCGCCTTCTCTTCTTGTCCCAAAATGAGCCGGCCGGGGAAGGGCACATCACTCGATTCATTATGACACTGAGGATTCGAGCTGGAAGGCGTATCCAGACCCAGAGCAGTCGGACGATCCTGAATCTTTTGTGCAAGGGAGACGGACTTCACGGTCGACAAAGGCCAGACTGGAGCGGCCAACTCTGCCCGAGGGGTCGTTTGGTCTTTGGGAGGTGAAGAGGGGTTGGAGTTGATAGGAGACATTGCCATCGGAGGGGACCCTTCGGTGGATGTGTTGGGAGTGGCAATTTCGCTGCTACTAGGAACCGATTGTTCTGATTCCGATGTCAATGATGGACTGGTTGTCGACGCTCCATCGCCATACTGGACGTTCTTGGGTGAAATGGGTGAAGCGCTGTCTCCGCGGAAGTCTGACTGTCGCTTGATGTCGAGGCCGACGAAGGGTTTGATGGGAGCTATATGACTGGCGGAGCTGCTCTGACTTGTCATACTCTCCATACTTGTCTTCCTTCCACTGCTGGATTGATCCGACATGTCGAGAGGAGAGCTTAAGGATGATGATGCGGAAGAGGATGTCGAGGTGGGGACGTGTGAGTGTCGGGTGAACGGCTGATGGGAAAGGAGGTCCGGTTGTGGAGTAAGATGCGGGGTCGTTGAAGAAGAAGAAGAAGAGAGTTGAAGGTCCACTTTAGAAATGGTGGTGAAAGAACAACAGGGGCGATCGCGGTCCGACATGAGGTAGGAATGTGATCGTGTTAGCGTCGTTCATCCATTTCAATTGCAGCTTATAAAAAACTAGAGTAGTTGAGATCGAAAGTGGGGGTTACGGGTGTACGGAAGGTGGGGAAAGGACGATCGACGGTGGATGACGAAAAGTTTAAGGATATTGCCTCTGGTCGATGAAGAGCCGAGGGGCAGGTATCGGGTAATGTTGAGATGATGACCAAGTACAGCACGAGTAGAGAGAAGGAAGTGTTTATGGGGATGATAATGAGGAAGGTAGAAAGGGTTAGAAGATGTCGGAAGGAACAGGTGTCGAATGTGGGGGTGTGTCAATATCCCTTTTAGACCGATTTCCTCCCCCTTTCTCTTCCTTGGGGCTTGAGGGCTGGTTGGGAAAATCGAATTATTCGATATTGTTCGCGGATCACAGTTCTAGTGGCCAATAGCCAATAACCAGTAGGATCGTCGTGGGGGATACTTTCTGGGGTTTGAAAAGCAGTCGTTGGGGGGGGGAGAAACGAGTCGCACTTCTTGTCCCAACTTGGGGGGCAAGTACTCGTCGTCGCCAAAGGAGGGTTCCGTGGATCCGTTAATCCGCTTAGCGACTCATGACGTCGCTTCCTGTCTGAGTGTCTGATCGTCGCACGGTACAGTGACTAGTCCAACTACTTAACTAAGTTACCCAACTGTTTGTTACTGTACTTTCTTGACAAAAAGAATCTTTTACAACAAACCTGGGAAAGAACACAAAGGTCATTATCACGCCACCGGAATGTCACGTCCCGTTACTGTTCCTCTCCTTTGCTTTTTCTTCCCCTTGGTGGCTGGAAGAATTCGCCCCAAGTGGTCAGTGGACCTGCCTGTGGTGGAGCTGAAGGGCACGCGCCTATACATGGCGTGCTCTCCACGCTTACTCTCTTGCCCTGACGATCCCTCAAACGCTCTCGCTTTAGCACCGTTTACTCGGCAGTCGTCTCGTCTCCGCCAAGGCACCGGTCATTCTTCCCGTCTCGGAACTGTAATTGTGACGTCAGAAGGGAGATGGTTACGTAAGGGCAAAGGTCCCACTTGGTAATATGGCAGCATGCAATGACAGCAAGGACAATTTACGATGCATCTCATGGATCATGCATAAAGCATGAATGTCGATGATTGAATCCTGCCTTGGCAATTGTCACTACGATGAGCAGCGTCGATTATGCTGTTTGGGTTTATGCAAGAAGCTTTTCGCAATCCATGACGCCACTTCAGTGATCTGGATCAGTAGTGCCACGGACAAGCTCTCCCCATTATGACTTCTGGTTTTTCGATAGACGATCTTCCACCCGCAAGATGATCCCGGTGAGTCTGGCAGTATAACACGACACTTGAGCCGCTCTAAACAGACAGAGATTGATCAAGGCTCATGCTTATGTAACAGATACGCGTTCGTCATCCCAGAGGAGTGACCACCATTCAACTAGATCCGACCCAAACGTCTATTGAAGAACTACAAGTCTTACTCTTCTCTACTACTGAGATTCCTCCTTCCGAACAGGATAGTGGGTCATACTTTCTTCAGCCTCCCTACACTTACCTTCGTCTTCTCTACATCCTCGGAGTTACATATCTCTTCCCATCACACAGATATGCTGTACCCCTAAAACTGAGTATGTGTGTGAGTCAGCTGACCCAAGTAAAGTCAAATTCGGTTACCCCCCAAAACCTCTTCCTCATATCACAGGGCCCATCTCATCTATACCCATCAGTCGAGGTGAACAGATAATCGTCACTTCCCTTCCCCCCACCCAGACACATAGTCAACCCCCACCCTCACAGTCCACACCAGCTCCGTCGATAAAAAGTGTCAATGCAGCCCTTTCCGCACCCAGTCCGAAAGTACCGTCGGCTTCCCTCAATGCGCAACAGACTTCATCTATGTCTTCAACAAGAAAGGCCGGTTCAGATTCACGAATGGGGTCGGTGGAACAAGGAAAGGCGGGAGCGGAGTATGTCAACTTACCGGGAGATGGAGGAAGCTTGATTCTGCGTAAAGTCCCCGATGATAATTCTTGTTTGTTCTCTGCCATCGGGGTGGTTTTTGAAGGTGGTATAGAGGGTGGAAAGAGACTACGACAGGGTGTGTCTCCTTACATTCAGCTACCTTTTCCAGGGAACAGAAGGGAACTGAGAACTAGTCATAGCTAATGCCATTCGTGAGGATCCGAACGAGTATCCTGATGTCGTCCTGGGGTGAGCACATTCCTCACGATTCACATCATCTCCCTGACAGCTCTAATTATCCGCTTCACTCGTATGCTGCCTGTCATTTGTATTGCAATGGGGCGATTGACGATGATGTGGTCCGAAGTACACATCGGAGAAAAATAGGGCTCATGCTGATGACAAGGATGAGTCGTGATCAATATATAGCCAAAATTCTCCAGCCTGATACATGGGGGGGAGCCATCGGTATGTCTTTCCTCATTATGCCGTCTCCTGTTTTTGGTGCTCCTCTTTCTACGCCTTCCAGGTATATCCCATCTTCCCATCACTATGTCATCGGTCGTGTCAAAAACTGTCCCAATTCTCTCTACGGTATTGATTTTGACGTCACTAGAACTCTCCATCTTCTCGAAACACTACAAAACCGAGATTTCATCCTTTGACGTAGCTACCGGTCGGTGTGATAGATTCGGACAGGATCAATATGATACCAGATGTTTCTTGGTGTATTCCGGTATTCGTATGTTTTTTCACTGTATTCTTGCTGTATGCTCCGGCCTGAGCAAAATCCTGTGTCATTTTTGGCTATCTCTCCGCATGAATGACATTCTCGCCAGTCATTAACCTTCTGTCCTTTTTAGACGTATCACCCCCTGCAGAAAGAACTATCACCTTTTCCATCTCCGATTGTAATCTTCCCCTTACCCCCTTGGTTTTTCCTCATCCAAAAGCGCTTCAACTGTCTTCACTCAACTCAATCCCTATCTGGGTGTTGATAACATTATCAAAATACCAATGCAAAGAGAAACAACACTCGATACAACATCACTCGGTCTCTCACACCCATGAACACAAAATACCACATACAAAAAATCAAATATTGATGAGACAGACTACGACGCCCTCTCCCTATCTCCTACCACCGACGCTCCACCAGAATTCCATACCACCTTATTCCAAATTTCCGACTCTAACATTTTCTCATCTGCCGAAAAACTCGTCAGTCAACTCCGATCGAAACATTATTATACGGACACTGCGACTTTTGATCTTCGATGTGGGGTGTGTGGAATAGGTTTGAGGGGTGAGAAAGGAGCTAGGGAACATGCTTTGAGTACTGGACGTGAGTCTTTCTATTGTTTTTCTGAATCACTACTTCGACACACTTTACAAATGTGTCACGCCTGTTTAAAGGTTTTGGTTTTTGGTTCGGTACTCTTTCAGATATTCTTCATCATTTCGAATGCACATCTCTCTAGATCTACCTCTCTTCCATGAATGCAAATTACTATCTCAAAAATTTGACAACTCTCTTCGTATCGACATTCATCATTGTTCAGATCGTTCTTCTGGCCTCTCTGAAGATCTAACGGATATCGTTCTTCTTTCTTCTTCAAATCGTCTATCATCCATGTTGGACAATATGAAGGAGAAGATTGACTATACATCCAAAGAGGAGAGAAGGCGTTGACTTCAGACGTCGAATTTGGAGAATATTAAGATCCTTTTTATCCCTCCCATGTCTCTCAACTTCATGTCCTCAATCGATTCTCACTCTTCGTCGAAGTAGATCCTCCACTTACAGTGTCGTCTACCAAAACTCATTTACACAGTAGAGTGAGTTACTACGCTTCGCTTGAACAACCAATCAATTGGTTCCGTGGTCGATTTGTGTACCTGTTCGATCACTATCATATTGCACAAATATGCATGTCGTGATCATTATTCCATCTAATAAATCCAATTGAGCACCCAGAGTCCTATCAACACCAAACCCAATTTGACCCATGTATGTTTTTGTGCCAATTTCCGAATGTCGGAGATTGTTTTTGAGATTGTTTCGAGTGAGGTGTGGGAAGGAGAGAGTGAAGTGTATCGTGGTGAAGAAGAGAGAAGTGAGCGCCACTGTGGGTTAGACTATCTCTTCCACGATGCTATGATATAGCCAAACGTATGAAGCGCTGTGCGGAGAACATGAAAAAGTGAAAATGTATAAATGACAAACGTGTGACTAGGATGAATGAATGTCAAACTCATGAATACGACGTATAAATGTCAAGCTCATGACCAGATCGATGCATGATACAATGGAAGGTGGTTCGATGGAAAGTGTAAGAAGACGATACAGACGACATAAGTTCGTACAGCAATACGAGATTATCAAAAGGATGACGATGATGGATGATATGAGAAACAAGGGTTTGAAGAAGAACCAACAAAACTCACATTTTTTCTACCCCTTTCATGTTCTTCAATCAATTTATCAACCTCTTCCAAACCATTTTCTTCTTCTCCCCCCCTTCTCAACCCTAACCCTAACCCTAACCCTAGGCCTAACCTATCATCTACATTACCCCCATTAATCTGTCCACCCCCGTCCTCCTTCTTACTTTGATTCATCATCGGTATACTTTCAGGTACCCCACCAAAAGTACCTTCTTCAGGACCTTCCGTTAATTCCTTTATAACTTCTTTCGGACTTATCAGTTCTTCTTCTTCCTTTTCTCCAACCCTCATTCTTCCTTCTCCTAATCTATCATCATGTATTCCATCCTTAGTCTTTCTCAAACCTGAAGATCCATCCCCGGAAACATCCGAGGGACTGGTAGATATATTAACCGATAGAGTAGGTTGTATGTTTGTGAAAGTTGTATTTGAAGTAGTGACAGGTATCGGTAAACCTTTAATTTTCTTCTTACCTACCATCCATTCAGTAATCTCATTCGTAGCACCTGCGACTCTATAAGATAACCAAACGAAACATATACTTGAAATTATCAAATTGGCGGATCTCCAAATCGTTCCAGATCCTGGTAAAACCAACAAAATAGCTTTTGTATCACTCGCTAACCAACCGTGAAATTGAAGAATAAAAGTTTCTAAAGAACATTGTCCTATGAAACAAAACAATGCACTTGAAACACTTCTCAATCGAGGGTTGGCGTTTCTTAAGAAGACGAATGCTAATATTGGTATGGAAGCCACAACAGCATGATAATTGTTATAAGTGAATTTTGAGAGGGAAAGTTCGAACCAGAAATACCAAATGAATCCGATGAAAGAAATGACCAGAGTGGTTATTCGTAAAGAGTTGAAATAAGGTTTTTCGATCAGACCATATTCTTTGATTTTTATATAACCGTAAGCCGTGAACATTCCACACCATACGATGAAAAGGTCGAGGGTTACACGGAAAGACCATTCTCGTGCAGACCATTGAATACGGAATATGGAATGAAGGATGGAGAAGATATGTTCGAGTAAAACGGGATGTCGCATGAAGAGAGTGACGGCTCCGGCGCAAAGGAGTAATTTGGGGATGAGAAAGACGGGTCGAGGGTTGTATTGACGTCCGAGAGCCATGGTGGCGTAGATGATCAAATACCACCAGGAGACGAGAGGGGCAAAGTAGTAAAATGCGTAGTCGGTGTTCATCGTGTAGGGTAATACAACGGAGAGGAGGTTGAGCCGGACAAGAACAGCGGCAACGCGGTCGAAACCGAAGTCAGCTTTTTTGTAATCTACTGATTAGTTTTCCTAAGCTCCCAAGTTGATAAAACGTGAGTTCACTGACAGAAAAAGAAATGTCCATCTGCATGTCAGCCGCGATATTCAGGTATCTGATTGGCACACCACAACGAGTCGTCAAGTACTTGAATAGAATGGTAGTGAAGTGTGAGCAGTAGGACTGTGTGGACACCTGGGTGGGATGCCAGATGATCCACGAATAAGTCCACAGAGGGGTCATCGGAATGGCAAGAGAGAACAGAACTTACATCCAGTCATGAACAAATACGCCGCCACCAACACCCGTATAGGGTTGTAGATACCCGAAACTTTGGAAGCACCAAGAAAGTGGTATACGAGAATCGCGACTGATCATCAGTGATATTCATGGGCAAATCTCCATGTCCCAGGGAGGAACGGCTTCATAGGTCCAACGATCCAACGAGTAGCTCGCGGGAAGAGGTGCGCTCGAAGTTGAGGAACAAAAAACCTTGATCTGTAAGGTGATATAGGAGAGCATTCGACACATTTTCAAATGGAGAGTACCATAGGCATACGTGTCTTTCGGGACAATGTGACTGACGACTCACTCTGCATCCACCCCTTCCATTCATCGGTGATTTCCCGATTCAAAAACCCTAAATCCTTGCCTCTATTCTTCATCGTAGCAAGTCCAACCACAAGAAAAGCGATTATGAGCGAAGCAAATATCCAAGGATCGAAATCTTTCCCTTCTTTGAGAAAAACGGTGGTTCGGTCAGCCATGAAAAGATATCCGATGGCGAGACCAAAGGTGCTGAGGGAAACGGCGATTGATGGAGGGGGGAGGAATCTGAAGAGAGATGAATGGGGTGCTTGGGGTTAGCTCAATGGCTTCGATATGCTATGTTCACTTTCTACTATCCCATCGGTTCGTGATAAAGCCAAGGGGGGTGCATGTTATGTAGCAAAAGTCATTCGGTACGACCTCTGGACTTTACGTAGAGACCAACTCTAGGAGATGAAAACCAAAGAAGATATGTGAAACCTAGGGATAGTCGCCATGACAAGTGGAAGGCGGGCAGAATAAGACAGAAAACTTACGTAGTTTACTAGCCAATACAGTCCCTAATGGAACCCACAAAGCTAGGAAAACGACGATAAATCCCTGTACCGGTCTAACCCAAGAATATCTCCTACAACAAGTCCCTTCCGGTGCTCCTTTTCGCATCACATCATTACATCTCCAAGCCAACAATAATTCAGCTTGTTTCTTGACGATCTTGGAAGAGAAATGTAATCCATCTTCCGTTTCTCCCTCCACCAACAAACGATTGAACACGGAAGGTATGATGACTGGTGGTGGATCAGGATGTGCCAATCGAGCGTATAAATCAGCGTTCATGGCGTCTACATCGGTATGTAGGATAGTTTCCGCTCTCTCTGGTGCGAGGAGAGAATGAACGGGTTCTGTGACTGGGAGAAAAAAGACAGCGTCGGCTAAAGCGAAATCTTCCCATTCGCCCCTTGAGTCTTTCTCTCTTTCATGAGATTGTGAACGAGTTGATACAGGTGAAGAGCGAGGGGTGAGAGGAGATGGGTGAAAAGATCTTTCGTCGAGTTCCATTTCTTTATAAGGTAAAAGACCTGGAAGAGTTACACCGGAACCTAATTCCATATCATCCCAAGGTGAGAGAAGAGCGGTTTGAGGAGAACCTTGATGATTTTTCAAATGTTCGAAAGTGTCGTGGACCATACTACCCCATTGTGCTAATCCTCCAGAAGAAGGGTTACGAAGGTACCAAAGACCTGAACCTAGGACGAGGAGGGAGGAAGGTGTTGTTGTTCCTCCGGATACCCAATGACGTGTTCGAGTTGAGTTGAGATATGGATCCCTGTGTGTCAACAGACGTCAATCACAAATGACAACGGGACAACGCCGTAATCGTCCACCCATCATAAAATGCAGACAATCAAAGTGTGCAGTTCAATCTGATATATACCCAAAGGAAACATGGCTAATTGGGGGACGTGAAGGACCAAAGGCCTGACCTAGTAGTTTTTCATGAGGAAGAGCCAAAGAGAGAAGAGATACGAATGACTCACCACCAAAACTCCATTTCCACAGCTCCCTCAGTATTTGGCAAAACGATTCTTCTATCCGTATGTTTTTCACTTTCCGTCTCCCAACCTTGTGGAACATTCCCAATCCCTTGATCTAACAAACGGACCGTGGAAAAGTACAACAATCTCACGCTTGAATCACCGATGAAAAGTACTTGTCGTTGTGCCGGAACGTCGTTGGAAGTGTACATTCCTCCGAGTAAGGAAGCTCCGAAAAGGATAGGACGAGGTGTGTTTTGAGTTCTAGTACTGAGACATGTGAGAAGGGTGGTGGATGGTAATGGTGGTTGGAAGCAGCCTAAAGTCAGTGTTGCATGGTGCAGAGTGGAAATGTAGAAAGATTACGGACATACCTTCAGGTTGCCAATTGGTATATGTACCGGGATCCAACCATCTTCCAGTGTTTAATAAAGCAGAACAATGGTAAGGATCTGTCCAATCTGATTGTCAGTCCTCATCATCTTAACATCTATACTCTTATTCCGACATCTTTCTTCAAAACCAGTATATCGACTCTCAAGGTGAATGTTCAAAGGTACCCTTACGGACGTGTCTAAAAAAAGCCCAGCAGGAAGTCCATCTCAAGAGATCAAATGGCCAAGGCGTTCTTCAATACCATATCCCCAATAGCGTTTACATGGAATGATTGATTAAAAGGGAATCTAATTTGGGGTCTATAGGGTTGAAAGGTAGATTCGACTCACCTAAAAAAGCCCAACGGAGCAGGTTACCCAATACCACAGCAGCACAAGTCGCAGCACTGACATAATGCCACCAGAGAGGGTTGATCCCTCCTGAAGCAGCTTTATTTCGGGTGGTAGTGGGCATGGTACTGAGAGAGAGTGATGTTGGCGATGCTACAGTAAAATTCCGATAGTCCACCACCTTTCCGCTTTGACGGGGGAGCTGTTCTTAGGAAAGGGAAAGGAATGGAGAGAGAGAGAGAGGTTCGAGCTGGATGAGGTTGATGATGTTTCACTACTATGAGACAAGAGAGATGGGGGGAGGATGTGAATTCTAAAGGGTAGGATTAATAGAGAGGAGAGAGGAGGATAGGAGAGTGAGAGTGAGAGGAATACGAGTAAAGTATATAGTAAAGTTTGTAATAGTCGAGGGATGGAATGGAAAGGAAGGGGAAAAGTTGTAGAAAGGCAGTCACCTCTTCTCCCGTCTAAAATAGTATAGTATATGGTTACTTCCGTATGACTCACTCTGTCTCACTTTTCCATCTACTCTACTACCACTCTTCCCAAATGAAAGAGAGACAAGATCAAAGAGTGGAGAAACAAGGTGAGAAGAGGGCGTAATATGACTGGAATCAAACGCAACTCGTACCGAACAACGGGCGTTTCTTCTTCCCCCGGGCGTATATATACACACGGCAGAGTAGATTACTCGTACTCGTATGTAATGTATAAATGATGCATACATACAAAACATCATATATTCGATAAGTGTCTCATGCTCGGTATAGAACCCAATGGCATTGATCCTAAATGTTTCTCAAGACTCGATAACGCGGACCTACAGAATAATCGATATTCTTCTTTATGCAAGACGCGTGCTGGGTGGATGGACTGAGACATTAGCAGGGGTCAATGACTTGTGTAACGTGTATGGTGCACTCGGTGTAGCGTAAAGACATTTTTGACATGTTCCAAAGGTCCTATCATAACCAAAGGTCTAGGTCCGTTATTCTTGTTGGATCCGTCGAGCATACGGTTGTTAAGAAGTGAGATTGAGTGGGACAAATGAGTAGGAAGAAAAGTAAAAGATTACACTCACCTTTTCCGTAGTCACCAACCCAGATACTAAAAGATTCAAACATTTCCATAAGAACGATTTTGGTGTTTCTGGCTTGGATATGAGTTTGGCGATATTACGTACCAAGCCTGAGTATCAGTCTCTAGTTACGTCCCCCCCTCTTACAACACCTGACAACAATCTATACCATACCTATTTACCCATCATACTCACCGTTGCCGCCACACCACACCTACCAAGCTTACTTACCCATCATACCCACCATTGTCACCAAACCATACCAGCCATCCTTGCCAGAAAACAGCGAGACGAAACAGGCGAAAGAGGTGCAGAGAAGTAAAAGGTGAAAGGACAAAACTCACAATCAACCACATCCCCTCTAAATCTCATAAATCCAACTCTATCCAATCCATTACTAACAACAGGTGGTAAATCCTCTAACAAACCTTTCCCAGATTCAGGCATTGATAAAACCGCAGAAAGATATTTGTGTTCTACAGAAAGACGATCGGTAGTGATGGTAGTGAATATTAAAGATATGAAATCTTCTTTCAATTTCTGAGCTCATCAATATGACTTTTTTCTTTTCGTATGAACAGTCCTTGATTGATGATTTTATACTTGATAAATTTGTTGATGACTTTATACTTGAAATATTTGTTGATGACTCCATACCGGAGATATTTGATGACGCGATTACATGAGATAAATGAGATATATGAGATGAGATGAGATGAGATCAGATAACTCACTGGAAAACTAAAAGGATCTGTGATAGCTACATTCAACATGAAATGTAATCCCACGTTGATCCTCGCTTTTATATCGGGAATACGGGACCAGGACATACGACCGAATGGACCGACAAAAGTTGACCAATCCTGGGAGTTAGTAGGTGATCGGGGAAAGATACAAGCTGTGTCGAGGACAGAAGAAAGAACTGAAATAAGAGATGTAGCTAATAGCAGGATAGATGTCAGAAGTAAGGATACGGGAGAGGGGAGAAGCGTAAGACAGAAAGTGAAAACAGATGAGATGAGATTAGGGGAGAAAAGGAAAAACCACTCACCAATCGTCGATGTTCAATGACCAAAACCGCAGCACAATCAGAATAACATTTCGATAACCTTATCAAAAACTTATTTCTTTCTTCTTCCATTTTCTCCGTCTTTTCCGTATTCCCTTTCATTCCCAACTGTTCCAACTGACCCGTCTCGTTAAATTTCCCCATGTCGTTCGACCTATCTAAGGATTTGTTACCTGAATTTTCATCCAAAGGGACAGAAGGGAACATGTCAATGAGTAATTTATATATTCTTGGACATATTGTACTTTCAATGATCTGTCATTAACATATATTTTTGTTCACTTTGTGTCGCTTTAAAACATTCATCTTTTCCACGCAACACTTCTTATCTTTGTCCTCCGTATATCCACCCATCCCTTCGGATGGACAAAAGAAAAACCGACACCGTCACCGACCATCTTTCGATCAACAGCTCAACTGGCGCAATGATGATTGAGCGTGGACGAAATGGGATCGTGACGAGTAGGAATGACGAAACAAGAAAAAGGAACGGCAGACAAAGAAGGAATGGCAGAAAAAGAAGAAGGTATGCCCGAACAAGAGGAACGAATGACAGAACAAGATGACGGAATTTGAAAGCCAAGTTTAGCAAGAAAACCAAGACATTGTTCCATCAAAAGACGAGTTCAAGATGGAGATAAGACCTCAACAAAAACTTACATCAGCAAACTCCTTATCCATCAATTCCACCTTTTTCTCCGTTTTCTCCTTTTCGTTCATTTCCTTCAATCTTCCCTCCTCCCCATCATCCATTTCAGGTCCAAGGGGATCGACCAAACCCCCACCTAAACCTAACGGCTCGACGGACCAATCAATTCCCAAAGATCCAAATTCATCAAAACTCTCACTTTGTAAACTTTCCAATTTCTCTTCTCTCATTTTCTTCGCTTTATCAGGTAAAGCCAATTGTCTGATATTCAAATACGTTTGGATAACATTGATTATTTCTTCTTGACATTTCTTATCTAATTCTAGATTGAATACTTTTGATGTCCAACTTGAGTGTAAAAGACAAGGAGGGGGGTATTTAGTTTTCTTACCATGTCCTATTTCTGGATTGATTCGGTCGATAGCAGGGTTGAGATTGAGATGATCATAATTTGGTTCAATAGTGATATGAAGGTCGGTGATTGAAGGTTGACCAGAAATATAGGTATCATGTAAAATAATCTGTTTGATAGAAGCTACTATTAAAATCATAGTTCTTTCCACTTCTTCTTTTTCTGGTAATCTAACGAATTTCTCATTCATCGTATTGACGGTCGTATTACCATTCTTATCATTCGTGATTGGAAAAACTTCGAACATATTGAAATGATTATTTTGTCGATTAATTGATTGTTCTTTCTTTCCTTCCAACCTTTTAATCTGATCCAATTCTTCTTGTAAAACATTCAACATTTCTTCAAATCTATTCATCACCAAACTTAAATCCGCCTCATGATGTCTTAAAGCCACACCGACATACATTATCCCTCTTATAGTAACTCTCCTCGAATCGAAATCGGCTTCTTTAAACAATTGCCATTTCCTTGAATTGGCCAATAACCAACCTACCAATCCAGGTGAGAAATAACATCCAGCAACCATTGTAGAATATCGATTTATCAATTGTCCCAATTGTTTCTTATTCGGTGGTAATAATTTATTGAATTTAACAGGTGAAACAGGTATGATAGTCATTATCAACCTTTGTAAATCTTTTTCAACTTTTAAAGCTTCTTTTAATGTTTTCGTTGATGAAATCAAATCTGATGCTGAAACACAAACGAATTTCAAAAACATTTCAAAAGCTGTTTCAATTTCCTTTTGATCATTTTCCGATTCTGATGAAGTTAAAGAAACGTCAAAAGAAGTTATCCATTTAGGAAAATCGACAAATGGTTCTGAAGGTAAATTCCTATATTGTCTTTCTTTGAATATTTTACCTAAATCTCTCGTTGCGAGATTAAAGTTTTCTTGATTTAATGACCATTTCCATTTACTTGATAAACGTATACAACGTGAAAGTATTATTTGAATATAACGATCTCTTCCATATAATTGATCAGCATGAGAACGTTCTTCGGTTTCTTCGTTATGAGAAATTCGTATGAGAGAAATTGCACGACGGACTAATGGCCATCTTGGTATAGGATTATATTGAGAGGTAGTACGACCGAATGTATCGAATTGTGAAAAAGCACATAGACTAAAGATTAGAAACCAGATACGTTCTGCCGCGAGTGGTCCAGAATGGTCTAAATGGAATGCTGTTTGGAAGGCGGTGAGAAGATATGAAAGGAAAAAATCGTCTCCAGTTTGTTTGGAACTCATTTCTTCCTGTCCGTTCGCTTGTTTCGTAGGTTCTTCCTGTGGCGCCTTGTTCCCCAATTCAACGATGGTAGTCGTCCGACCGAGCTCTTCAGTTTTCACGAACGATGTATTGTCGATATGATCGGGATGACTGACAGTGTGATGGTTGTTGGTGGGATAATTGTTGGTGGGATAGTTGACATCGCGATGATTGATATCATTAGGATTGACAGTTGGTCGACAGGTAGAACAAACAGACAAAACAAGTATAATCGCAATCCACATAATAGTAGAAACCTCCATAATCTCAGGAGATTCAACTTCCCCTCTTAAAATCCTTTTCAAAGGTTTAACAGCTTTATCAAACCCACCTCCTAACATCTGTGTTAACATAGCCACAGCAATGATTTCCACAACTTTCATATCCCCATCAAATTTCATTAATCGACATGATAATTCGAACAATTCCCATCTCATACCCAATACTGTGTTTTTGGCGGATTTCGAATGTTTTCGACTTGATAACATATCATCCAATCTTTCACTTATCTCCAAAACCTTTTGTCTGATCAAAGTTTTCAACGTCATCGATGATCTAAGAGAAAAATATCTTCCTATAAATGATAAACCTTCAAAATCCGGGAAGATGGAAATATCTTCATTGACATAAAGTATCAATTCAGAATATATCTTATCGAATAAAAGAGGAATGACAGGTGATAAAGAGTCTTCTCCCATGTTCGGATCTAATGATATACCATACGTTTCACAACTCTCAATATTGATCATACTGTTGTGGTTGGACTTTGATAATAATCGAATCAAAGAATCAACACGACCAGTAGTGAGGATTGAATCTTCTGAACAGAATAATCCAGAAGGTAAAGGAGAAATCGAAAAGTCGATAGGAAACGATTCAAAGTTTGCCCAAGAACGTGCTTTCCCAATTCCATGATCAACGTCTCCGATAGAACTCGTAACACTGACCATACTGACTACACTCGTTTTTGATGTTGTACGTTGGAAAGTACGTTTCGCAGCATCTTTCGAACCCTTACCTTTTTTCGAAGCGATGTTTAAATCGGTCTTGAAAGATCGAGGTTGGACTTTATCGTGTTGTACTTGATGATGTCCATGAGGTGTCTTGTTGGGTTTCGGCTCGGAACGAGGTAAATCGGGAGAATCATCGAAAGCAAAATCATTCGTTGCCCATATATTTCGATCGTTCAATTGAATAGCAGGTCTATTTATCTTTTCCTTACCTCCTCTTCCTCTCCTAGCTCCAGTCATCGTCTTCGTACCATGTTTAGAAGTATGCCTAGGAGTGACATACTTGGTCTTGGAAGGGGATCGAACGTCTTCGATAGGAAAATCCAATCTGGTTTGTACCATCCTTCCTGTTGATGAAACAGGATACTGAGCAACACGTTTGGCAATACCCAAAGCAGGTCTTCTTTCTTTCCTTTTCCCATCATGTCGTCTCCGTTTTTTATGATGCATTTCGTCTCGAGGAGGCATCCCAGTGACGAGCGATTCGAAATCTCCTTTATACAGCCTTACCAAACCACCACCATTATCTTCCTCTGCTTGTGATCCAAAGTCTGAATCATCGTCAGAAGAGATGACCACCACGTCTTTATCCCTCGATTGAACTGCCGAAGTTCTTTCATTCGAATTCGGTCTTTGAGGACTGGAAGAATCAGGTGAAGCTAGCATTCCTAACAAACCTGACATATCAACATCCCCTTGACCACGACGTATGACCGCATGACCTGGTCTGACTGGTGAAGCCGGGGAAATCTGGACTATTCGCTTTTTAGCTTCTCGTCGAGCCTTTTGTCGTTCTTTCTCAGCTGCTTCACGTTCAAGACGTTTCAACATGGCAGCAGGCATCATACGTCTTGCTATCTTTGCTCTTCTGTCCACACCAGGTGAGTCAGAATCGGAAGTTTCGCCCGAAGTGACAGACGTCGGAGTGGGTATGCGTCGTTGTTTCGTATTGGTCGGAAGGTCATCAATGTAGAAAGATTGTTGTGGGTCAGCTTCAAACATTCCCATCGGTTCAATGTCTACGTCCATTTGATGATCGAGAGGTGTACGAATGGAAGTGACCAATTCTGGTGAGGGAGATGTGAATTCACGAGTCTGTCTGAGGGGAGGAAGAGAAGGTGGGAGAGAAGGTAAAGAATCATCTTCCGAGATATCAGGTTGAGGGGGAGGTTTCCGAGAAGGTCGTTTATCTGTATATTTCACTATTCCTCTCGCTGGATTGCGAGAATCATGTTTATCTTTATCTTGATCTCGTCGGATTGGCTACATCGTCAGTTATGACAAGCAAAAACATAATACAGCATGACTTACCCTATTAGCGGAATGGTTAGGAGAAGATTCTTTCCCTTTGATCAATTCTTCAAACTCTCTTCTTGATCTCTCCTCGTCTCTTCTTCGTCTCCTCTCTTTCTTCTCTTCTCCCAATCGTCTCCTAGCTATCCTTTGCAAAGATCGCATAGCTTGTTCATCCTCTTCATCCGCAACTTTCCCATGTTCTAAGAAATATTCATCATAATCTGCATCGATCACCTCAACCAACTTTCGAACCCGTCTGATTCTCTCGGGGGAAGGAGCAATGATGACTCTCTCCCCATCAACTTCTCCAACACTTGAACTGCTACTCTGCTGATCAACTTCCGGGTCTTCTGATTCCTCAGAGGATTTTGGAATTTCAGGAGCGGGAGCGATGGCATTCCGACCTTTTTTGAGACCACCACGACGGAGTTGGGCTTCGTATACTTGTCTTTCACGGGTGTAAGGTTGGAGTTGGAGTGTGGTACGGGTTCGGAATGTACGGGCTGTTCGGAATTGCGCGAGCGCTGGGTCTATTGGTGCTTGGGGTGAATGAGGAGAGGGGGAGGGGTCGTGATTAGGGGAAGGATGATGGACAACTGAGTTACTTCGTTGGGCAACTTGCGAGAAGGTCGAAACTGGTGACGGTGGCTTTGAACGGAGAGGTGATTGGTGATGAGTCGGTTGAGATGGCCATGCGGTCACTTCATTGCTCAGACGTGGTGGTGAGGCGGGATGATCACTAATAACAGACGATTGTAATGATCTCATTCGTCTTAAAGCCCCTTGCGAGCTTTCAGCAAGAGGAATGCCTTCCAGTTCGTGTTGAGCATCACGTATCTCTGGCTCGTTCCTTATCGCAGCATTGACCAGAAAGGGCGAATGACGTTGCAGATCGTCTTCCATCATTGCACCAGGCTTCTCGGGAGGTGGTACGATCATCCTAATTTCCTCGTGGGTGCTGAGTGGCGAGGGATGTGAGAGATCATCTTCATCAGATTCTATATCTTCCTGTGTTGGTTTGTGAATAGGAGTACCTAAAGGTTGAGCTTCAGGTTCGGGAGGTTCATCTGGTTGATGATAATTGAATGACGGAGGAGGGCTTTGTGTTCCAACAGGGTAGTCGATTTCCATCTGAAAAGGGTGAACTATGTCCATCTGAAAAGGGCGATCTACCTTATCGTCATTCTGGATATCCTTCCAATGTGATCCTCCATCGATATCCTGTTGGTCATAGACTGTTGCAGTGGGTGATTTGTCTGGTTTCCCATCTTGAAAAGAATTTGCCGAAGGCAGGTTTGTTCCGTTGTACCCATCATAAATCCTACCAGGGGATCTGACCTGGTCCACGCTGTTGAGATCTTCCATCACTTGGAGCCCAGCTTCACTGTCCGCACCCAATTCGTCCTTCTCCAACTCATCCTCATCGACCTCATCATCAAAAGACTCATCTTCATCCATATAACTTGCAGGCAAAGGTTCCGTCATGGAGGTAGCTAACGAGCTTTCACCTTCATCTTCTCCCTCCTCATTTGTCCCGTTATCTGGAATAGATTTCGATGACGAACATTCGACATTTTGCGATTCGTCTCTTACAGCTACGTCTGATCTTCTCCCACTTCTAGTATCCGAGCCTGAAGGCGAGTTCTTTTTCACCCTCTTTGGTGATCTCGAGTGATACTGAAGTTTTTCGAGACGGGGCGACGGAGAACGTATCAAATCCAACCATATATTCCTCGGAGACTACAAGATCAGTACCCTACACCTAAACCTATCCACATGCCGAATCCTACTCACAGGAGTACCTTCCAATTCCCAAACCATAACCTCTTGTTCTTTCCTCACACCCTTTCCCTTCCCCCCCACATGCTGATTTACACGTTCCCGATCTAACCTCTCGTTCCTGTTTTTCACCCATTGAAGATACTCTTCTTCGTCTGAAGGAGCTACCAAGTCTTCTCCTCCTAATCCTACTTCGTCATCTAACCTCGATTCGAGTAGTATATCAGCTTCCGACCTCACTTTTTTTCGAGGTCGGATGGGTGACATGGCTAAAGGGTCTTCCGAGCTGGAAGAACGTTGAGAGGGAGGTTTGACTTTATTCCCAGCTCTTGTTCTCCTTCTAGGTGGCATCTTGCCTACTTCCTGTCACCTTCACTTTCGAATCTCCTGCTCTATCCTATCGTCTGATGATCATTTCTTTACCTGACAAAAGCTAAGTATGTGGTTTTGGGTGACATGTTGGAAAATGTCTTAGACGCGTCTGACTTTATAGTCAAGTTTTCTATAAGGGAAGTGCTTTACGTAAACTCCCTTCTCCCCCCTTCCAGCAACGCTCCCGCTCGTCTTCCTCTTTCCCCCCATACACATTCAAACTCTTGACTACTTACTACCTAAAGACACAATACAGAGGTACAGAAGGTAAATATGGTGAGTTGGCGAGAAGGTCACTCCATGGATAGAACTCACTATCAGTCCGATATAGATAGACCTACTTCTCCCAACGGTGGAACAGGAGCTTCTTCAGCTTTCGCAGTTGCCAGACCTCACGGTGCTAATGCTGTTCGGTGAGTACATTCCATCCTTCTCTCAATTACGTCTCCCGATCCCATCCCCTCAGAACCTTCTTTTTTACCTGACTGAAGACACATTCTGTATCATCGTTATATCCTCGCACCATACGTGACTATCCAACCACAACATGTCAGATCCTTCTTATGTACTATCGTGCAACGCATCGCGCCTCTATCTTGACATGGATTCCGAGCTGATACATTATTTTAGACGTCGAGCAGCAGCGGCTCCTCGACCTAACTCTGCTAGGGCTGCAGGAGCGGGAGGATCAAGTAATACAATGTTAAAACTTTATACCGATTCGGGCGATGCTGGATTGAAAGTGTAAGTTCAATCTACCATCATCTTATCCTCCTATTTCTTTATTTACCTTCCACTACCATCAATCTCTCATTGTTCATCATCACCAACTTGGACCATACTCTACTGTCACTCCCCTCATATTCTCATCATCCTCAACTCGCATGAATGTACAAAGATCATTCAAGTATAGTGTAGTATTGGCAAGAGCACAGACTAACCGGATAGCGATCCATTCGTCGTTATCGTCCTCTCACTCTCTTTCATAGCATCCATCTTTTTCCTCCATATAGCCGCAAAAGTCGTGAGGGCCATTACCAAGTGATTCATCTCACCCTCCTCCCCTCCTCCCCTCCTCCCCTCCTCGCGGAGACTATAGGGTGTCCCTGCATGCTGCATATTGCTTTCAAGGCAACTGCTTTCGAGAGTGGTCGTGGAGAATATCATTCCACAAAGCGACGCAAGGAACAAAAATGGGGATATCGAGGAAAATATGATGCATTGTGTACAACATCGTATAGAGCTGATCATCGAATATATATCTACATAGATCTTACAGAGATTACCTTTATATCGAATCCACGCAAATCATTGAATATACAGTCCAGATCAGGTCTCTTACACATACAAAAGTGAATGAGTAACCTGGGAATGAGTGGAGCGATCTTGAATGTATAGATTGATGGGTGAAATTGAGAAGTGGAGAAGAGTAATATAACAGTTGAGTCGATGTGAGAAGGAGAAGGATGGATAAGGCAAAAGATCGTTCATCGACCCAAAACCTGTTGTAACAAACCCATCATACCAGCATCTCTCAAGAACCCTTCTTGTTCATCTTCACTCTCCTCTTGATCTCGTCTTGACAAACCTTCACCCCAACCTAATTCTTCCGTTTCAGGATCATCCAACTCATTTCCTCTTTTCCTTTCACCATTCCTTAACCCATGTGATTCATCTTGTTCACTTCCATCCCATCTAACTCCACCTCCTCGTTTATCTTGTAATCTTCCCCCACTAACCTTACGTTCTTCTTCTTCTTGCATAGGTTCCAATCCTCTTCTTAACAATTCTGGTGATTTCCCAATGGTCCTTTCGTCAAACCAAGGACTATCCACACCTAATCCTCTACCTCCGTAAACTGAACTGTTCATTCCTCTAGCTCCATATACAGAACCTGTCATTCCTCTAGCTCCATAAACAGAACCAATCATCCCTCTCGGTACTATTCCCAACGTATCACCATACCTATCATTCACCCCTCCCATCCCATTCGTACCTTTCCCTCCTACCAATACAGAATTTCCCAAGGTGTGGTTCTGTGGGACTGACAACCCTACTAATTTGTCGAGGAATATACTAGAAGCAGGATCAGAAGGTATCCAATCTGGATGTGTAGCTTTGAAATGTAGAAAAGACTTTTCCATCTTATTCTCATTTGCACGATTTCGATTTTTGTCTTTTCCTCTTTTCATCGTCGTTTCCTCGGTAGTTTTCTTCTTGGTGGAGATATCTGTTTGACCGGATTTAGCGTCCTTATCCCGCATTGAATCTGGATTGAGTTTCGGATCGTTTGTGGTGTTGAGATTGGTGTTGATATTACTGTTGGTGTTGAGATTGGTATTGGTATTACTATTGGTGTCGAGATTGGTATTGGTATTGGTATTGATTGATGCACCTTTGGGATGGATATCTTCTTGGACTAAGGCAGGTCGACCAAAATCGAAAACTGCAAAACTACATACGTATCCTACTCCATCTACGTGAACTGTGAATTCACGGAAAAAGTCGATGATTTCCCCTGCGCAAGGAGGGAGAGAGAATAAGAGAACGAATGGAGTGAGTAAGACGGAGAGTAGTTCTTGGAAGAAGATTGTGATTTTCAGTTGAAACAAAGTTGAGAATTCCGCGTGAACCTGGAAGAATCAGTTGATCATCTTTATTGACACTCGACTCCATGCCAACTACCCCACTAGATCGTTTTAAAGTCTTTTCATTACCTTTGAGCACGAGAGAAAGGTGGAATTGTACGAACATGTCCACATACATGAGGAGAGACGAGTGATCATATGATCCGACGGGAAAACGCAGTGTGAAGCCTGGTCGGGTGAGGTGTAAAAGTGGGGTGGAAAGAAATCTGAGTAAATAAGGGAAACCCACCATGACACTATGTAACCTCCCCTGCCATCCGCCAGGAAGATAATGAGTCCATCTAACCACCTCCCTCAAACTAGCTTCGGGATCAAAAACCAAGTTTTCTTCAGGAACCATCCCCCTAGCCATAGCTAAAACACTTCCGAAGATCCCGAGATAGAACAAGACGGTACGATGAGGAGTTATTTCAAAGTGTAAGAATAGATCAGGGTCGATGAGTGATGCGACGAGTAAGACGGCGGCGAATGAACCGGCAATAAACGCCACGAACCTAGACATTAGGGATTGCATCTGTGTCACAGAGGATGGAAACTGAGTACCATTGCAAATAGTGATATTTTAAGGGACGATGAGGGAGAAACAGTCGATTGAAGGTGAAAAAAACTATTAACGCACCTCATCACTAAAGCAGTCCTTTCTTTAGGAAATTGATCAATGTATTCTTTAGCGGTAGGATAACTCATATCTAGACGTCTTTCGAATAAATGAGGTAATTCGTTAAACTCGCGAAATTTCCATTGGGCGTATGGAGTGTATTGTCTTGATCCTATAGAAGAAGGGTTTTTGTGATATTCCTAATTATCAGCATTCGGCATCCATGAAAGACTCTCCATTGATGCACCAATAGCGGAGGGAACAGTGGAGAGTGAAGTCCAAGATGAGTGTACGGAGCTTGAGGAGAATACTTGCAAGGTACATAAGAAGGAATACTGAAAGGACGTACTTCGAAATATCGGAAGAAAGACCAAATAAGAAGGTAAATAACGATGAAAGGGGCAAAGATAGCATTGAGTATACCCATGAAAATGAACCTTCTTTGTAGACTGTGCGTTAGCTTCTCTCTCCTTCTCCTCGCCTGTTCCGACGTCCTCTGTGGCGCAGCTTGGTAAAGAGCACAATGAATGTGACGTTGAAGGATTTACAAGTTGCGGTAAACATAGGAGACACAGGACCAACGAGGTCACGCAAGACAAATGTGGAACACGCTATGCGATTCTTCCCCTCGAGAACTAGAAATGAGAAACTCCAAACATAGACGATGTGAACGTGCCAGAAAGGAGAAGGAACGGGAGATTCGTCACTTACCCCTCTACCAAATCCTTCCTTCTTTTCTCTCTCACAAATTCCTTCCTCACCTGCCCACGTCGATCGAACAGATAACCCAAGAGACAATACCTCAAATTCCATTCCAAAGCATTGGTAAGGACGTTCTTCCCAAAACTCAAAAACCGTCTTTCTGTTTCCCTACCTTGGGCGACAGGGGGCAATGATGGATATGGAGGGGCGATGAGATGTTCTGGGATCAGAGGGACAAGTATATGAGGAAGTGGGAGACGGAATCGAAGATCTAAGAGATCTTTGTTGAACAGTGCTACGAGATAATTTTCTTGTCGAAGGATTCGGCTGCTGGTTAGCATCTCTTCGTAAGATTCAGACGGTCACAACTGCGAGCTAAGCTATTTGGACGGTGATTTTACACATTCTCTTGGTGTGTGTGAAAGAGAATGAAAATGTCAAGGACTGGGTTGGTCGAGGGGGCAAAATGGGTGGAAGAGTTATATTTGCTTAATGAAACAACATTATCTCATATATCACTCCGAAGGCTGAAAGGAGAAAGAGAGATGCGAGATGGGGAGGATGTCTTCAAAAGTGAAGATCAAGAAAGAGGAACGTTTGACTCACTTGGCAATATCATGAGCATCAAGCTTGACAATGACCTTGTTCTCTTCCTCTCCTACCATCTGTGCCAAAGCACCCGCTTGACCGTTACTCAATGATGTGACGGGGTTATGTTTCCTGATTTCACCTATGAGACGGACGATTTCTGGCCATGGGAGAGTTTGGATATCCGCCTGAGAGTAAGCGGAATCACCACTTCAAAGTATCCCGCTCGTCACGAAGGGGAGAAGCGGATGGAAGATGAAAGACGTCGGTTTCAGAGATGTAAGATGGAGTAAGGAGCAATCACGGTGATGACTGGACCATCCTCAGGGGATAGATTTGTGGGTATAATGGCCGGAAGTACTAGAGCATATCATACACAGTACACGAAGATATACTGGGTCTTTGCAATGGCGAAATCTGAGAAATATCGAAAGACATATAGAGGTCCTATCAGACGTTTGGTAAAAGAGAAGGATAACTCACATCGGGCACCCCAAGCAAATACGTGTAAAACCGATACATCTCCAAGAGTCTCGGGATGGACAAGATGAAAGAAGCCATTTGAAAGAGGTAAAACGCCCCGACGGAGAGGATGAATAGCATATGTGGGAATGAACCTCTGAGCTGTGAGTCTAGCATTTTTTCCGAGTTTTTTTGCTGCACTCCATCACAAGCGGTGTGGAGAGCGGGGAATGGGGTCAAGCAATGGTGTTGACGAGTAGCTTGACCGATACTAACAAGGTGGATATATGAGATATGGCAACATATGGAATGAGCGTAGATGAAGTGTAAGAGAAACAGAAGGTGAATATGGGAGAGGATAGACCAAAGGGAACGGATGGATCAAAATGATTACCAGACTAACCGAGTGATACATTGTTCTATCAAGACATCATCCAATCTACCTATAGCATTCGGACCTTCCGTAGTTGACCAAAGCTTGGAATAATCGATGCAGTCGAGCAAGAAGGTGGAAAACGCTACCACAAAAAATGTCGTGCTGCAGATTAGCCGTGTTCTGGGGTTTTCTGGCTGATCACATTGTATCTGGCACGATAGGCTAGCCGATGAACGGCGCAACTGAGGGCTGGCGAGGGAGATGGAAAACTGGCAGAAAGAGAATGGGAAAGAATGAGGACCAATTCTATGTGGGCACATACAGGAGGTTTAACGCTCTTGCGAGGGCGATGCAGTATATTCCTTTGCCTTTGTAGTAATCATATACCTATCATCAGCTATTTTCAACATTCGGGTGGACGGTGAGGTAGAGGACTTCGTTGAAGCTGCGGAGGTAGGCAGTCAAGCTGGCAAGGAAACCTGGGTAAATGAAGTGAACGGAGAAGAACGAAAAGAAGCCGAGAAACGAGTGGAAATCGAGATGACGACTAGGTGACTTTTTGGGGATTATATGATTTGACTTTCAGACGACGGGCGAAGTGGATTGAGAGCGTAAGGTGGAGAAAGAGGAACACGAAGTGAGCAGCGAAATCAATAACTCACCTCTTGTAAGAACCCATCAAGATCATCCACGTTGACCCATTTCCATAGTGCTTTCTCATATTCGTTCAAACCCGTTTTCCCCATCGTCACCATCTTTCCCTTACCTTTAGCTCTTGATCGTCTCCCCGCAGAACTGGTTCTCCTTCTCGTCCCTCCCCCTTCGCTGCCAGATCTACTGTTACCTTTCCTCGAAGATCCCTTTCTCTCATCATCTAGGTCGTTCTCGTTCCCATCTTCATATGCTTCTCTAAGAGGTTCTTGTAGTGCATCATGGAAATCGTCCATTGGCACTGAAATGTATTTCTTCCCTCCTTTCCTCTTACTTTTCCCTTTCATAGAACTCTGAGCCAAAGCATGATCCCTCTCATATAGTAAAGAATCGGTATGAAATTGTCTGAATCCAATTTGATCAATCCTAGTAGGAGGAAGTCGTTGTCCCAACTTTTGATGGGTGGTGGAAGCCTCGTGAACAATAGACGATGATTGCAGGGTGGTATGTGGGAGATCGAGGGAGATAGATTGACCTGGTGATAATCCTGTTGCGGATGCATAAGCCAATGTTGATGGACCTGGTGATGTAGAAGCAGAGGTGGAAGATGATATATTGCTAGGAGGGAGTATTCGAGATGGTCGAGTTGTCTCTGAAGATCCACGGTTATCCATGTTTTCTTCTTCCATCCTTATCGTATCTTGTCCTACTACCTTTCCGCCTTCTTCCTCACTTCTGATTCTTTCTGGACTCTGTCTTTTGATCGTAGTGTTCGTATGTTCCCCGAATATCAAACTCTCCGACGGTCCATCTGATGATTCCGAGTCAGACTCGAGTACATGAGTAGGTCTTTGAGCTTGGCTATCCTCCCCAAAAGGTCCTTCGTCAACTCCGGGTTCACCTCGAGAGTTGTTTGGTGATCTACTTGGTCCAGATTCATTGACGTCATCCTCACCTTGAAGCTCTCGAAGGAGTACAGCAGAGGGTGATTCCGGGTCGGGGGGTTTCCGGGCGGGAGACGAAGTGAATGGATTTGGAGTGGACATGGTGGTGTGTGAGTTGTGCTCTGAAGAGAGGATCCAAAAGGAGTAGTGTGGAGTAGATTTCCCTTGCTCTTCGCCTGAGACCTAGATGGATGTTGTGATACAAAGTATGGAGACCGAAGGTTCAAGTTGAAGAGATGTTGTTGGTGAGTAGGTGGCTAGGTGATGTCCCAATTGCGGGGCTCCACACAACCTACTTGGTACGGGTCACCCAGGCCACCGTCCGGGTATGACAGTAGTAGATGGAGTACAGTCGAGTAGTGAGAGAGAGATAATTGTATCTGTCTTTGAGTAAGTGGAGCGGTCGAGAAAGATATAGAAAGATAATCAAGACGCTTCATAAGCGTTCTTGACTCGTGGTAGTGTCCCACCCCACATGGTAATGCCGTGCGCACGCAACACCCTCCTTGTCCATTTTCGGGTTTGCCATTTAAAGACAGCGTGAATAGACGTCAAGCTTCCTGCCGGTTGTTCATACCTCGACTGAGGGATTCTGGCGGACGTGATGAGGTCATAATTGTTCACCAAGCACATCCTTTCACTTTCCATCCATTGTGCCATATGGGTCAGTTTTCAGACTCAAAATCTCTAGACCTCTCCAATGTCCCATCCTCTTACTACTTCTTCCTCACTATTTGAACAAGCACTACACCTCAGCAATCCCCAGCTTGCAAGATGTATCACCTTGGCCACACCAGGGAAGAGGAAATGATCTGCCACACTATGTTGAATATTGCGGTTACCACGGCTTACTATGGCCACCCTGAGATTGTGGTCAATAACTTCCCCTGGAATGAACACACTCGTGATCTCTACAAGCTTGGGAACAAGGTTATTGATTCTCAGACTGAGGAGGAGGTCATGCAGACACTTGGAAGCTCTGGATACATCCGGAAGGGAATAACGCCAGGACAGAGCAGGATCATTGAAGGTGATGGTCACCAGCTGAAATATCGCGACAATGAGAACGGGGAACCAATGACAGAGGTTATCCTCCACAAAGATACCCGTCTACTTTTAGAATGGACAAGAACATTTGGACAGGACATACGCACAACAACGGTGAAGATAAATTGGTCCAAAGGGAGCTATAAGTGGGTTGAAGAAAAGATGGTTCAGAGCGACCGTTTTGAGAAAGAGCTGCGTCAGACCGTGACATTCCATCAGTACATTCTGGAGTCAGTCTACCAAGAGGGCTTGATACACGATGTGAAATTAGAACGCTCAGACACCAAGGAGATTCTCTTTGAGGCACAGCGCTCCTCGACCGCCATGTCCATCAGGGACAATTCTATGCAGGTCCCTGAGGAGGTCCTTGAGGAGAACACTGAGGAGAACCCTGAGGTATGGCGGACCATACCCCTGACTTCTGTCCATGAGGACATCCTTCATCAGATCTCCTAGATAGATGATGACCGACCCCATCCAAGGGTCACAAAGACGACGTAGTGAGACAAAGTGATGAATCTGTTCCTGATGCTTTCCCAGTCTGCACACCACATAGATCTGCCCAAGTATGTATCTTCTCACAAATCTTACATACCAGTAGTGGGATGAGGTCAAGTGTCCTTGGGAATGTTGCCAAGCCAAAAGGTAGAGAGCTCTTGTGGCTATGATCAAAACTGTATGTGGTTTGTCTTGTTGCTATTTGATGACATAATCAAAGATGCAGATCCATTTTAATGTGCTTCAACATGATCCACGGATCGCAATCAAACTATCAAACGGTGAGGTGTCCCTTCTCCATCGGATTACTAAATTGATTGTCATGTGGATTGGTTCACTACTCCGTGCGTCTATAGGAAGGGTCTGAACCCATGGAGATCAGTAGTCTTCTCTACGGAATGTATTTCTCCCTGTTCCACTAAGTACGTGCATCACCTACGACGATCCGTTGTATAAATATGATTCCATCTCCTCATGTCCACCTTTGATTCAGGCCTAAGGGTCTGACGCTTGCTCTATCTGCCTCAGAGTGTTGCTTCCAAAGTGACTGCCCCCGAACCCAAATGGACCATTTTCCATTCCTGAACTGAGCCTCGAAGTTTCTTTTCCATCTCCGAGTTGTATCGCTCACTGAGATCTTGAGTCATGGAAGAGAGAGGAATTCTTGACTCCTCCACCCATGGTGAATGAATTGTCAGCTCCTGCTTAGTACGGACGCTTTGATACAACCTCTCTGTTCCAATGGTCAGCTTCACAGTCCTTTCGTCTGGATCTTGTTTCAAATATATTTCAACATCACCAACTTTCAGGGTGTGCACAATCACCCGAGGTTTGCTTGCAGCAGAACGTTGCTTTTTGAGATCATATGAATAGCCTTCTGCCCACTGCATCACGTAGAGCCCCAGGGACATACTGTCACGGCCGTCGAGCAACTTCTTCCTTATAGACCGACGGTCGACGAACCTCGGCTAACTTCACGCTTCTGAGTCGATGTCTCACCCAACCAGGAGGGCGCAGACGTCGAAAGGAGTGTAACTACGGCGTACTTCGGCGTAGTTACTCTAACTAAGGCTTTGTTCTATTGATGGCGATGTATCTCGATGTATAGCTATCTCTATTTGTCTTTTACTACTGACAACAATCAAGGATCGCTGAAGAACTTCAGCGATCTTCTCAGCTAATATGACCTATCCCTCCTAGACGTTCATCCAACCCTCCCGCGCTTTGACGTACTTCAACGCACTTCGTCCAACTTCCCCGAACCCCGGCCATCCTCCTCCTCCTTCGACTAACTCCGCCTAATATCGCCGCACTTCTGCTCCCATTGTCCCTACCTAGCCTAACTCCGCCTAACTTCGCCGCACTTCTGCTCCCATTGTCCCTATTTACCCTAACTTCATCTAACTTCGCCGTACTTGGTCTCAGAGGTCCTGAGTTACGTGTAGAGTAAAGAGGTTTGAGTCGTGATGGGGTTTTGATGGTCAAAGGAGGGTCGTTGTTGGTGGAATAATCGAGGTGTCACGACGTAGTTCGTGACACATACATGTTGTTATCAATGTGAACTCATATCAGCATCTTTACAAAACCTTCCTCTTAGTGACCTACCATTGAAACTGTCATCCCAAGTCAAGGTTCTGTTTCTTCCAATGTCAAGCTTAACCCCTCTCGTCAGATCCTCTTGGTGATCTACCACCTCATAGCCAACAGTGGAAGTAGGGGTAAGAATTGAAACATCTTCTCCACTCAGCGCCTTTGGCTGTTTGGGCAAGTAGTGAACCTTCAATATGTCAATAGCCTCTTCTCTATTTCTGCAGGGATAAAGCTGCTGTGCAATCTCAAAAAGGTGTAGAGACTCTGAATCGTCCACGAGATCCATAGCCAATAAACTTCCAACAGGCAATGGAGACTTAGCCTCATATCCAATTTGAGTGGCGTGAATTGCAAAGGAGATAATAGTATTGGTCACAGTCGGCTCTGTTTCACTCATGATTACTACGTATCAAAAGCTTGTGGATAGCTGATTAATTTGGTTGGGTCTATAAGATGAGTAGAGTGTGTGACAAAGACTGAATGAACATACATACCATATCCTCCCCATCAGTACAGTACAAGGGAGGATCATGAAGAGAGATCCTACTAGTGGAGCCAGAGAAGATATTTTCAAAGTCAGATGCTGTGTCCTTCATGAGAAAACTTCTTCCTGCTGCACAGGATACTGAGCGCTCACGGACAGTCGACACTGCGCTTTCGTCAGGATAATACGTTCGGGAAAGTATCAAACTTAGTCGCAGTGCACAAATCCGTCAACGACCGGCTTGAGGGGGTCGTTAGCTACAACGTGAGGTACAGTTCAGGAGATGATAGCAAGAGTCGGGACAATTGAATCAGTCCTTGAAGGAGAATACACATACTGTATGTAGTGAGTGGAAGCGATATTGTTACAAACAGAGTGCGCACGGATTGTGTCATAAATCTCAAATCTCGGTCGCAGCACAAGCAGTTTATAAAGGGTCTCAGCTCATACTATGAGCTGAGCATTGGATCTTTTAGCACAAGAGCTTAGTGCACGTCACCCTTTAGGCGTATGCATTACAGATTGTGACGGCTTTGGAAAGAAAAACCAGTACAATGCATGTACATTTGTCTTACTTGTAGACTCATCATTCATCACTACTCGTACTGTTCTCACTGCTGGCACTCTGCCTGACCGTTGGTCTCCACCCCTGACATAATCGCACATCTCCCTCTGCCATTCCACCAGGCTTCAATGGGCTTGTAGTCACGTTTAGGTGATAGCTGCTTCTTAAAGATCAACTAATTCCCTCAGATTCCCACCTTCTCAAAATGTCCTGTACTTGTTGACTGGTCCAGTTTGTCTCTGAGCTTCTGAAGATTGGAGCCCCATCTTCTTTCACTTCACACAGGATTTGTGGTTCCCACTCTGTTGAGTTTGTCACCAGGCTCAAACTATGTGGTCCAAGAATAAATGACTGCTCTCTGTCAGTTATATTGTTTCCCTCATCCCATTTTATAGTCCATTTGACTGATGCTTTGACATCATCTTGAGTGGTCCAATTGGCCTCAATCTCCCTGGTGATTCCTTTTTTGCTTACAGCTTCTGCCCATCTCAACACATCAAGACCACAATCAGTGAGCTTCACCAAATAAGGAAACTGGGAAGTTGACAGCGTGTAGCATCCCTCCTCTTCAGCGGTAGTTTGACCGTCTTGGAGTCTCTTCCCCCTGGGTGCCATAGTGACCTGCCAATCTTCTAATGACATCCGTAGCCTGATCAACATCAACACACTCACTCAAATCCAATGCAGCCTCTAACAGCCGAATATGCTCATTTGTGCCAGCTCCTAAATCCAAGTTCCGCTCTTGAGGGATCTGGGTGATGGACTGCATCAAGTACTGATCAGCGGGCAGCCCCACATGCAAATCCACTTTCTGTGAGTTACTCATGATACGTAGGTCCAACAGTGTAAATGTCGTATACTAGACTTGTGCAGCTAGATTAAGATGAAGTTGTGGGAGGTGAAGATGATACAAAGCGTTTTGTACCCAGCCCGACGGAGTTTCATTGACCTGGGTAGCGCCACCCTCACCATAATGGATCAAGATTGAAAGGTGGTTAATTTTTAGCCAATATGTAGCTAGAACCTTCTACTCTCTCTCTCACACACACACATCTCAATTACCTGTGATGGAAGCATTGGTCTTCCGTGTTGAATTACGATTAAATAATGGTATCAAGGGAAAAAAGCATGCATCGGATCTACATTTTAAGGCGCGATCAATCAGTACCGAAATCGTCTCCAATGTAGAGAGTCAATTGAAGAGAAGAGCATATATTGTATCATTCTAGGTATCTGTCACGCGGCACCACGTGACATCATCTTTTCCCATCAACGAGGTTCCTTTGGACATCAGTTCGCCATCAACGACCCAGTTCTCATGAACTTCATCACCCATGAGGGTATTAGGAGGCTAACTTCGTCGAGGGCGAAGTTAGTCATGTAGGAAGTTAGGAAGATACGAAGTTAGGGAGATACGAAGTTCGTGAGGTACGAAGCTCGGGACTTCGGGTTGAACGAAGTTCTGCGTTGACGAAGTTAGGGAAGGACGAAGTACTTAAGGGCCGAAGTTCCCAGAGATCTTTGACGATCTCTGGTTGTTGTCTTAGTGACAGAAGTTAGTAAAGTACGAAGTTATTACACCCAGAAGATATTGTCACCTATTTCATATCTCGAACAACGAAGTTGGTAAAGGTCGAAGCCCATGAAGTTATTGGCCGTCGGTCGTAGGAAGTTAACAAAGAAACAACCCTGTGACAGACTTCATGTTCCTTCTTCAACATGTCTATAATTGGTTTGACCTTCTCCTTGGTTGACGCGGCTTTCAAATCGGACCACGATTCCAGGTACTTCAGAAACCCCTACCCCCACTTAGCGTTTCGGAAAGGGGTTTGATAAGAAGCTTACCTAGGCGGTTGCGCTTTCTGTATTGATTGCAACGATTTCGACATCGTTATACGCATTCTGATGACCCCCTTCTTTGGGAACAATAATTTCGCCATCCTCAATGTAAGGAGCCGCCACGGAATCCGAAACACCCCTCCCCGCAGCTCAAGCCAATGGAGTACGATACGAGACCTTTGTCCCCGAACTTAGACCAGCTACCGCGGGATGTTGCATAGGCACGCCGGTAAACGGGGTCTGGACAGCGGGATTCTGCACACCCTGCGGAGGACTACGCTCGCGGGATTCCAAGGGAGGAGGAGAAGCGTTCTGATTTTCGGAAGCCCCTGGTCGTAATTCATTTGGCCCCAAAACCTACCACCGAAAAGGATATCGTCAGCCATGAAATATCGCTTTTAGGAAAGTTTTCACAGAGCACAACGAGGAAACGCGGGACGACGACCGTCACTACTATCGGTGGCGGACATGATAAATGACGTAAAAGAGTTTAGATGAAGTTCTCAACAAGAAAATTCAAGGATGTTAGCAAAAATTCAAGGATGTTAGCAAAAGAAAGTGATGAGGTAACAGGAAGAAGAAGAGAAGAGGATACAGGAAAGTGGATCTCGAGATCAGACAGAGTGATATTGAATTACACGTCGTAATTTAGGGCGCTGTCCCGATCACATCATGCGCCCTCACTACCATCATTTCCGATAAAAAGTGCCACATGCCACTTTTGATTTAGTGGAATTTTATTTTTCTACAGGACTAGACGACGTCGAGACGACGTTTACCGAAGGGGGAGAGTAATGTCAGGATCACGGGTACCTATAGACGGGTTCCTCAAGAGTTGTACGTAGAAGTCGTACTCCACCTACCCGTTCCCGTCCCCGTCTCACTAATCCCGCTACGGCCTCCTCCGTTCTCCTGTCCTACCTAATCATTACTTCTTGTCACGGCCGTCGAACAACTACTTCCTAATAGACCGACGGTCGACGAACCTCGGCTAACTTCACGCTCTGAGTCGATGTCTCACCCAACCAGGAGGGCGCAGACGTCGAAAGGAGTGTAACTACGGCGTACTTCGGCGTAGTTACTCTAACTAGGGTTTTGTTCTACTGATGGCGATGTATCTCGACTTATAGCTATCTCTATCTGTCTTTTACTACTGACAACAATCAAGGATCGCTGAAGAACTTCAGCGATCTTCTCAGCTAATATAACCCATCCCTCCTAGACGTTCATCCAACCCTCCCGCGCTTTGACGTACTTCAACGCACTTTGTCCAACTTCCCCAAACCCCGGCCATCCTCCTCCTCCTTCGACTAACTCCGCCTAACATCGCCGCACTTCTGCTCCCATTGTCCCTACCTAGCCTAACTCCGCCTAACTTCGCCGCACTTCTGCTCCCATTGTCCCTACCTAGCCTAACTCCGTCTAACTTCGCCGTACTTGGTCTCAGATGTCTTGAGTTACGTGTAGAGTAAAGAGATTAAGTCGTGATGGGGGTTTTGATGGTCAAAGGAGGGTCGTTGTTGGTGGGATAATCGAGGTGTCACGACGTAGTTCGTGACACTTCTTTACCATGCTATACTTTTTCTTCATCTCCGTGTCCCTCATCTATCTCCGTCTTCCTTCGCTCTTACACCCCTTGTTGCTTTCCACATTTACTCCATAGATTTCGGTATCACTCCGCTCCCTTTTAGTATATAGAAACACCCCTTTTTCGTAGATGTCTTGTTGAATGTATTTTCTCGTCACTTAGCATATCATTTGCCACTTGATCTCATTGACTATAGTCTCTTCGATCCACTACATCACTAGACTATAAACTACATCACTAGGTTTGTTCCCTGCGAGGCCCTATAGCCATAGCTCATAGACGCAGACTATTTTCAACGTCTGGCCTTGACACAAACCCAGTGGGGAAATCTCAAAAGCAGAAAACCCATCCCTACCTAAGTGCAGCACTGCCTCCAAACCCCGCCTTTCTCTATCATAATGTAAAGTTTAATGGATCTGCTTCAAATCTTTGTTACCCCGCAACACTGATTGAGGTACCTGTCATTGATGGCTAATTAAGGCACTAATTAGTGATAAAGGAATTGATGGCTAATTATTGATCATTGACAATCCTGTTGTTTGTTGATTGGGTTGGGTTCGTATACAGAAATAGATGCCGACCGGCCATCCGGCTAGTATTCCTCCCAAGGTACCCATGCTTATCAGTTTGTCTGGTCTGAGCGGAACCTGGTACATGTCAGCCGGAGCTTGGGATGATGACAGATGACAACAGATGTTGTGATTGATGTATAAAATGTCGAGTCAGGTTGACTCAGTGATGGGAGGGTGATTGAAGTTGAATGGTGATCCACATGTTGTACAATGGAACGAGTTGAGACAACTTGAGTAAAGTTGACTGGACTTGAGTGAATGATATACACGTGGTATTTTCAGATATTTGAGCATTATGACATCAGATGTGTGTGCTATTCAATCAGAAGCGGTGTGCGGTAGATGGTAGGTAGCTGTGGCCTCAAGTATGAGACATCTTGACTAAAACTGTCCAGCCTGATGTGACTCGGTAGTTGCTTAGGCAGTTGCACACTCAGCTTATCTTTTGTACGTTCACTCGAACGTATCTTTGTTCCATCATACTTCAGACACACTGTATTTGCTTGTTTTTGGTCATCTCTTTGTGTATCTATAAAGTCTAGAAGAACACCTTTTAAGGTGAGTGTGTGCCGGATCATCTCAGAATCAAGCAACATAGTTTCAGGGTTTATGGCTCCCCTATGTTCTACAATAAGTTTCCCGATGTTTCCACTACCATCAGGCCAGAATACTCTCATGGTTATTGTAGTGGAACCCAACTCGCGAATTATCCATTCTATTCCGCTATGGCCAAGGTCAAGCTCAGTTTTCTCGTATTGTTTACCATCACGAGTTCTTATGCTGGACTGAAAGCCGTACACCTTGTCTTGTACATCAGTGTAACTGTTTCCTTTTGTGAGTGAGTCCCTACTTATTGCAGTATATCCACACCTCTTGAAAATCTCTTCAACTTTGGAGTGATCAGTGCAGTACAATGTCTGAGTTGCAATGTCAAGAAGGCGTGATGTCTCTTCGGTCAGTTTAAGTTGTCTGGTCAGCTCGGGCTCCGAACATAGGTAAATCAGGTCAAGAGCATTGTTCCAAATTGAAACAAGGTCCTCCAAGTCTATTCTGCACTCGTCGAGTGCAGGATCTGTAATATCCAAAACATCTGCATCAGACTGCAGGGATTCATCGCCTTGTGTGATCTGTAGTACACTGTTTCCAACCATGATTTTGCCCTTGAGAGTGTTGATCTATGCCCAGTTTCTCACTTGACGTCCGTTGGTTGGTCCGTGCGGCTGTCTGTGTCAATATCCAATATATTGGTTTAGGGGTCAGGAAGAAGATGTAATAATGAGACTGGATTTGGGGTTTGAGAATAAGTAGGCAAATTCCCATTGACAGAGATCGAATGGTAGCATCGCCCTCGTAACCCGTCAATGGAGGATCGATGAAAAGATGACTTTCCTTCGCCTTCTTTCCCCATTTGCTATTCTTCTGGTGGAACCATGTCCGTTCTCATCGGACCATAATCGTCGTCATATCCGCTTTGATCGGAAGACTGATGTAACCCTCCTTGTTTACCATAGCAACCATCACCGAGTGACCGAAAAACGATTTTCCCATGATTCGTGGGTACCGTAAAGAAGAAGAGTACTTTGCGCACAATACGTTTTCACTTCCTGCACAATACTGCCACAAAACCACGTGACTTTTGGGCTTATCAGGAGGAAAAGAATACCACGTGTGATGACATTACCACAATCTAACATCTTTTCATTCAACTTCAATGTAGAATTTCTCAATCAGCTTCACCTACAGCTCACAATACATCACATAAAGCCAAACCGACTGCAGAATCTGAATCAGCACCCAAATTCAAATTAGAAAACATGTTAGGAGACATCTTTTACGATTTTAGTAAGTCCAGGAGAGCAGGATTTCACCAGTGGACAGAGGGGTGGAAGAGAACTTCATGTATCTTGGTGAGTTTCCATCTGTTTGATGTAAACTCTTTTTGTGCTGATAAAGACAGGTCATTTCTATAGTCTCGCTATGTTTGTTGAAGAAATGCATTATACATACCCGAAGAAAACAAATTATAGCAAAGATCATCACTTTGACATGTGTCCAGAGAGGTGGAAGGGCCTTGCTTTGGTACACGTGGTATTTTTTTCTTACTGATAAGCATGAAAATCACGTGATTTTGTGGCAGTATTGTGCAGGAAGTGAAAACGTATTGTGCGCAAAGTACTCTTCGTAAAGAACGTTGATAAGCGTCACACTTACCACTTACTCCTGTTGTCGTCGAAAGGAAAAACAATGGTAGTTCATGATGACGCTTACTCATGGATTATTTCTCTTATCTCATCTTATCTCTACTATCTTTCTAAGAAACTTCAACTCGTTGGCTCACCTGATCAGTCTGATCAATCAATCTACCTGTTGATCACCTGCCGTCTCTTCCGGCGCCTCATCCTTGATGGTGCAACGAACCACCTCTATCATACGTTGTGTGACCGACTCCGTATCTTCAAGCGCTTCTTTCATACAATCATTATATGAAGTATGTCCTAGATGGACCAACACTTCCTTGGATCCCCAGAAAGTTAACGTGACATGATCGCCAGAATTCACATTATAAGGCCGGCTGCTCAATATCAAATCATTCTCACGGTACATGCGCATCTGTACTATTGTCCTCGAGTCAGTCACAAAGGTCAATTTATACCCATCCCAACGCAGAGTTCGGACCTCTGAAGACCGGGATTTCTTCTCCCTTAGGAAATGGTAAGGAAGTCTCGCAGACCAGAGTGTGACCCTTCGTGTTTTATTGGTGAGAGTTTTGGGTTTTGTGTGCCATTCAATATGGAATGCAAGTCTGATCCCAGATTTCGTTGATGCGTGAACTGTATCGGATTGAAAAGAGTTATAATATGGGTCCGTGATAATCGGCGTGACAACTTTGGAGAATTCAGTATTCTTCAACACTTGTTCTGTGTGTCACACACTATTGCTTTGGAAAACCCTGTTGGCAGTTCCAATGCAATGCTTCCACTCTTTGCTGAAGCCGGAAGGAATAAATTTCATGCTTGTTCCACCGGCGAGAACAATTCGCATCATACTTTCCACAATTGCCGCTTCTTCTATGATCCAAAATCCCCTCGAGGAGCCCATGTCGTTGACCTCTCAAGTGGGATACGTGATCAGGTGTGATTGATAGGTAAGATGTGTGTAATCAATCGTTGTGATAAGTTTATTATAAATCTACAATATGAGTGTATGTTAGAGAACTGATTTAGATGAGAAAGTAAGAAGCCATGAACGCCCGTTTTAAGTTGCATCGCCATCGTGAATTTCACACGTTTCTTCGTAGTACCTCATCGATCTATAGCTCGTAAGAACTTGTGGTTGGAAGACTCACAACGGTTGATGGTGACGTACGAAGAAAGGATGTTCATCCTACCCTCGTTTGATCGGTCAACCATGTCTTGATTTATACTTTCGGACGAGACGTACATAAGTTCCCCTTCCCAAACAATCGTTGTTAAGTAGTTGTCTCTCTTATTCTACATTCCCCCAGTTCGTGATGGATATGTTTTACAGGCCGTGATGAAGAATCTCTCCCTCGATAATTTCGTTTCCTGTCGGTTGATGACAATCATTGGTTTCCATCCATTCTACCCATCTTCATATCTTTCTTCGTTCCATTTTGAAGAGATAAGATGGCGGCGGCGTAACTTCGATTCAACACCAACTCCAAGTGACCTATTTCCTTCTGTCCTCCAACTCTGAATCTCCCCCTCCATCCTGGATTCCTAAAGAATGAAACGGCTGCACGAGCAAAACTCATGGTTTTAGTTTTCTCTTTGATTAATCGTCCCCTGAGAAATTTCTTCTTTGATTTTCCTCCGATATTCACTTCTTCGTCGTTTCCCTCCATCACCCCCCGGAGCTCATATACCCCCACTCCCCTACCCTCCCACGAGATTTCATTCCTTGATATACCATCTCCTCATCTCTCAACTCCTTGGCCGACCATCACTCCTTCCATACGCGATGACGAGCCATCCCCCCTCCGGTTTTAATTACCCGCAGTAGCCGACCATTTCCTCACAATCTCTTCCTTCGGACAAGCCGTACTTTTCTTTTTCACCTCATCAGAAGCACTTTTATCGTACATACCCGCACAACAAAGATACAACCTCTTTACGACATCTTTACATTTTTCCTCTTGGTAATTATTCTTTGCTAGACAAGTTTGTATCGCACAAGCTGAGATCAGTCCGTATTCATATCCATCCATCGTAACATCATTCTGATTTATATAATGATCAGAGGTAAAGATTGGAATGGTGTAACAGTCGAGATGGTTGAGGATCTTATATATATTCATAAAATTATCATATAGAGATGTAATTATACGAGATGGAAAGATATGATGATACTTATGAAAGATTGAGTGAGTGTGTGTTAACTCTAGCATAAGAGGATATGAGAGTGAGGGATAGGGAGATACATACCTTCGAATTGACATTCTTCCGACATATCTTATCCCAATGTACTTACTCGGTAGTATGTGTAAAACCTATTATTACCTCTAGATCCAAGGAATCTTGATCCTTTCTATGATCTATGAGTTTTGATTTGTCACTTATAAACGACCCCCTAGACCGTAAGTAAGGCTATTGAGTAGTGTAAGGAGGAAAAAAGGAAGTAAAAAGATGATGTGAGAATGATGTGGAATGACGTCTTTTTCCCTTTCACTTTTCTTTCTCTACATTCCACCTATCAACTCTTCACTTTTCACTTTTCACTTTTCACCATCCCTTTCTAAACACGACAGTGAGATATAGAACAGTTTGAACAAGAACAAGAACAATACGAATATTACATAGTTCCAATCTTCGAGTAAGAAAAGGACGTTAAAGTAACTTGACTTGAGATTTAATCATCATGTCAGACATATATTCTTTTACCGTAAGTCTTCCTTTTCACCCACTATTATCCTCTCATCTAAGACGAAAAACCCTTCTATTCTCGTGGATCTCCATCACGAATGACACTTCCATAATCACCAAAACTCAAGTCATTTATACAATCATCAGACGGACCATCATTCTACCTCCTCTATGACTAAGACCATGACAATTTGTTCGGTCAAAAGCGTCCATCGATTGACCCTGATGAACGGTGTGATCTACTAAACCGAAGAAATGGGGAAAGACGAATGGAGTGGGGAAGATTAAGTATTGATGAAATCAGGTTCAACTACCTAAAGATACCATCCCTCTATTCGAACATAAAGACAAGACGTTGTTATTCGTCAATGTAGCTAGCAAATGTGGTCAGTACTTCCTTTCCTTATTAATCTTCATCCATACAACTCCTTTTCTTCTTACTTTTCACCCATACAACAACTCTCAAAATAACCCACTTTCATCACTAAACCATAATCCTCTACCGACGTCTTCCATTCATTGTTCTAATTCTCATCCTTCTCGACCTTCTATCATTCACTCTGCAATCACACATCCAGAATTCCTTTGTTTCACCTACTTATCCCAAACTTCCTTACTCACCTACCCCAAGTACCATTGACTTCACTATCATTTTCCCCAAGTCGAGTCGAGACAAATTGCCCGAATCACAACTGACGCCAAGGCCTCACACCGCAATACAAAGACCTTCAAGCTTTATACGAAAAATACAATTCCAAAGGTCTTGAAATCATCGGATTCCCATGTAATCAATTCAAAGGACAAGAACCAGGTACGGATCAAGAAGTTTTGGAATTTTGTCAATTGAATTATGGTGTTACTTTTCCTTTGGCCGTCAAGGTGGGTGGATGGTACTGTATATTGTTCATTCCCCCTGTTCCGGGATCGTATAAATTTCCTCGACCTTTCTTTGGGATCATGATGCGTTCTGCCACTACTTTCTCACGACACATCTACTTGTCTCGGAATCATAATGCGTTCTCCCATCACTTTCCCACCGATATCTAACTATCAAATGAGATCTCGCTGAACCCCTTACCATACAAGTGGATAAAGATAAGTTTCACTAACCCAAGGCGGACGTTAATGGACCTGAAACTCAACCACTTTGGGCTTATCTCAAATCTCATGCGGAACCACCCGTCGAAAATATCGATTGGAACTTTTCCAAGTTTTTAGTTAAAGATGGTAAAGTTGTGTGGTTCCCCGCTAGGAGCACTAAAGTTGTGAGTTGTCTTTATTCGTCATTTCCAATGATAGAGGATCAGAAAGCATGTCACTAATGGTCAGAACGACGTTGAAGCTGCTCTAGGTTTGTAGAATGTGTAGAGTGTGTACTGTATCAAGCCGTGTCCAAGGTATAGTTAAATATACAGATAGAAGTAGGAAAAAGTGATGCATCGTAGTTTGAGATGGTCAAGTAGCCTGGCATACTATGTAGCTTAGTGGTTGCAGCAAGTCACGGGGGCATACGTCGGATCCGAAGATGGTTGTGGGGACAAAGTCCGGGGTTATGGTGTGAAAAACTGCCTCATTCGGCAATTTCGCCACTTTGCCACCCAAGCAGCCGTCGGTTGAGTCATAACCCGCCTCTTAGTAAACAACTAGCCAATGGTGTGTTCGTATTACTACTATTACTCTTTTGTGTTTCCCGCCACTATTTTCTACCCCCCGAAAAGAACTTTAAGAACACGGTTAAGACTCGGGAGCTCAGTAATCATTTTGGGGGGGGTTTCGGGGGGAGGAATTTTTTTTGCCCCCCCCCCCCCCCCCTTTGTATCTGATAGCTGGGTGGGCGGTATTACCGCGATGGGTAACTATTCCATTCACTTCTCAAACGGGTAATATTCCCACTACACCCACTCACCCACTCACCCCTGCGTCATACAGCATACCCCACACTCGCACTATGATGATATGGACTGGACAGTATAACATATACCTCCCCCTTGCAGCAGTCAGATATAAAGTAGTAGCAATAATGACTCGTACAACGTCGACGTCACTGACACCATTCTTCTCTACTCTTCCCTCCCCCTACCCACCCCCCATGACGTCCTTCCATCTCACATCCACCTCACCATATGTTCATGATACCAACCATCCCAATCACCTCCAACCCGATGACCGACCCAAACATCAACATGTCATCTCGCACAAACACCTTATCTTCCCCCCCCCGCCACCCACAAACAAACAATCCCATCCGGCCTCATCTTCATTCCATTCTCGGCATGCGACATTTCGACATTCTTCACTCACCATGACATAACCATTCAACGTTATCTCCATCTATTCCCATTTCCGTCGATTGGTCGACTTGACAAATACCAACAATCATGTCTACCGTGAGTACTCGCATCTTCTCTCTTTTATATAAAATATCTACACCCGGCTCACCCTTCTCTATCACTTTCCTCAATTGTCTTTTTTCTTTCTCTCTTTTCGTCTACCTGTTTTGCTTTTCCTTGTCTTGATCCGTCTCTTGTTGTCCTGTGGCGAATATCCACAGTTTACTAGTATCAGATTTATCAACTCTACTTGCGTTCATTGGATTATATCACCTACCCTTCTTGGATCATTCCTTCGACTTGAATTGTTCTTTTCCTCACTCAGAACTTCTCTTCATCCATTCGACAACCCTACCTTCTTCGCCGAACACAATTGACGAGAAGATCACCAAAAACCTTCCATCTTGAGATCTTACTTTCCTCACTCAGTCATTACCATACTTTCAACAAACCACCTTTCATTCACCTTGTCTCCGAAAGAAAACCATTCGGAAATACAAACATTGATCCCGACTTTCGTGACCCGTTTGAATCGGTCCATTAGTAGAAAACAGTGACCTTGGCTTTATCCTTCAGTCGGAATTCGAACGTGAGTAAACTCATTTATCATTCCTTCCAACCGAGCAACCGATCTAAATTTCATTCTTACCATACGACTCTTGTTAAACTTTCCTTTCATCATTCATAATCTAGACTCTTAAATCTCATGACGTGCTTCACTACCAACTTTGCCCTACCCTTGTTACCCTCGGACACATTATCGAAACATTCCTGTCGGATCATTCCCCTTGCCAACTCTCCTGCTCTCGCCCTGATCTACGGCTCTGATCTGCCGTTTCCAGCACCCTCCTTTCCTTTACCCAAACCACATGTTCATATTCTTTTCCCTTCGGGGGTAGTTTTCTCTCTTGACTACTATACACCTTGACCGTCTTATCCCCGATCCGTCTAAAAGTTTCCCAACAAAACATGATATCCTTTGATTCCCCCCATCATCATTTTCTCGGCCTCAAACCCGTCTAAGAAACAAACTGGGAAACCGGCCATGGTCTTCTTTCATCCTTCTCATTGTTCTCTCTCTATGCTCTCGCCTCTCGCCTCTCTGCTCTCGCCTCTCACCTCTCGCACTTGGAAAAACTTGATCATCATCGCCACGCGACTATGTCATATTTCTAGGGTACATAGCATCAATCCGATGATCGTCAATCCCTCCTCATACCCCTTTTACTCTTTTCCCACTTGTTTCGATCCCGAACTTATACTATCCACTCCTTGATCAAGGAGCCCCAAGCGCACGGATAACTCTCAACTCTATCCTCCCCAGTATCATCCTATCCTTCATCAACCTCCACCTTTCGGTCATCTTTGACTTTGGTTTTCTCTTTTCTGGCACGAGGCACCCGTACGCTTCGGCTCTATCCATCTTTTATTTCCTCTTTCCATCCTCTCTGATTTTGTACCTTTCGAAAATCGTTCCAGCCGAGCTCGAAACCATTCCATGTGACTTCCGTGCCGCTGACATTACAGTCTGACATTTATATCACTTTACGACCAATAACCGGGTCATTTCGTTCCCACGTAGTAAACCAAACTTCGGCCGCGGTTAGACGATATTAGACAATCACGTCTCGAAGGCTCGGTAAGCCGATCACAAACTCTCTTTTGATTATTTCGTAATGATATACAGATTTCCTGGGGGTTTTCTTTCCAGCCCTTTTACTTTTGTATTCATCTTCCTTGTCAATTTGCCGCCGTCCCTCTGCATCTTTTCCGTGCTTAGTAGTCTAAACTCTTTCTCGTAAACTCTACCACTGGATAAATATCCTCCTCTGTTAGTCATAACACGGCGACATTATCAACCAACTACCAACTATCAACTATCATTGATTGCCTCTCTCAACCACACAAGTGACCTCATTGTCTATCAACTCTTTTCTTGGACAAAGCGATAAAAACATATATTCTTATCACCTCAACATTGAGCCAATTTATCATTTTTACCGTACTGTAGAAAGACACACATAGTCGTCAAGATGGATGAATATCGACCAAACCAACATCATGAAGATCCCTTAATAGATGAGAATATGTTACATGATTTCGGGGAAGGGGTAGGGATGGATATGCGAGATTTTTCACATGATCCTAATGGGAGAGAAGGAATGGGTGAGTGTTTTCTTTGGTGTTACATTATCATCAAGCTGTGTTCACTGGAATCCGCCGTTTGTTAATGCCACCTTGACGGATTTGTCCTCTTACATTGACCCCTCATCGTGAAGTTCTCTCATTCATCGTCCATCCTCAGGAATCTGCTGTTTTTATTCCTCTGTCGTTGTAGTGGTGGTCTCTTGGAGTGGACTCGTCGACGACTCATATCTCACCCCTCACCGAATTCATCCCCTTCACTACGTCCAATCGTAGTCTGAATGACAGCCCTTTCCTTCATCTGTACTCTGGACCCAGGCATCTTTTGGCATGTACGGACGTCCTTTCAGCTGGTCTTTGTGTTCTGGAATTAACGAATGTCCAACCTAACGAACAGTCGCTCATTTTCCCCCTCCAAGCGAACCTGGTCCATCGAGACATTCTAAATCTGCCACACCGAACATGGTAGGTTCAGTGGATGATATTTTCAAAGCGGAGACGGGTATGGATGATGATGTGGATAGTAGTGGTGATGGTTGGTTTTGTTCGCTTTCGTCTGATCCTCATTCTTCCTCTCATCCCAATCTTCTCCTGCATTCATTTGGAATGCTGTCTTGTCCCCTCTCCTTCTCCCAATCTCCTTTTGTGTATGGGACCACTGCCCTCTTACAGCTCTTCCTTTGCATCCTATTGGAACATTGTCCTCTCCCTTCTCCCCTCTCCTCAGTTTTCCCTAGCATACCGTTGCAACTTTGTCTTCTCCCTCTCCCCAGTCATCCCTAGCATACTAAATCATTGGCCTTGCCCACCCGACCTTTCACACCGCTTCTCAAAGGGTCCATATTTCCGATCATAGTCTCGAGCAATGATGGCACCCGCCTCGTTCAACCTTCCACTTGACGGGGAATCCCTCGCTTACCCCCAGGTGACTCTTTCCGCGAAGGATCGAAGAAACGCGCCAGGCCAGACGTCGCCGGAGGGTTCACCTTTGTAGATGGGAACGATTCTGGGCGTAGGAAGATTCGTATAGAATACATCGCGGACAAGGGGCGTAGACATATCACTTTTTCCAAGCGCAAAGCGGGGATCATGAAGAAGGTGAGTAGAGTCTACCTTTCTCGCCTTCTGACTCTATGTGCTACTTCGTGATCCCCGATCTCGCTTCCTGATCTCGTCCGAGGGATGTTGATGATTGCTTCCGAGGAGTCGATGGTTGAATTTACCCAATCTGGCTTGAGCATCACGTGTGACATGATCTTGTCCCATAGCCGACTATTCCTTTAGATCTCGAGGTAGAGTCATGATCTTTTTCCATAGCCGACTATTCCTTTAGATCTCGAGGTAGAGTCATGATCTTTTTCCATAGCCGACTATTCCATTAGATCTCGAGGTAGAGTCATGGTATGACAAATGTAACGATCGCTGACAAATCAGGCATACGAACTTTCTATCCTCACTGGCACTCAAGTCCTCCTACTGGTCGTGTCTGAAACTGGACTCGTGTACACTTTCACAACGCCTAAAATGCAACCTATGGTGCAGAGGCCCGAAGGAAAGAATTTGATTCAAGTGAGTGACTGCTTTGAGTCTTTCGCCCCCCTGATATTTTTCTTTACATCGAACTCGTTCCTCAGTTTACATGTTTTACGTGTCGTTTATCCTTTGCGCCCATGTAGGGTCCAAATTTGATCTTGTCATGTATCATCTCCCTCATCTCCCCTTCTCATCTGCCCCATCTCCCTTCTCCGCCCACGTGAAACTCCCGATCGTTCAAACTACTCATCTGCCCGGGCAAATTGCCATTTAGAACCTGAACCCTGTTCCCGTTTCATCCACTAACTCACTCCCAGGCATGTCTCAACTCTCCCGAAGGTTACGGACCTGACGGTGAACCCATACAAGGTGTAACAGCCACCAAAGCTAAAAACGGTGGTCTCGCTATCCGTCCTCACAAATTACCTCCCTCGGCAACAGCCGCCATGGCCGCTACAGCTCATGCATCAGCAATGCAAAATCATAATAATTCCCAATCCCACTCTCACTCTCACTCCTCTCTTTCTCATGCTCTCCCTCATCCTGATCAACAAAATGAAGATCATTCCCGACCGAAACGTAGATTACCTTCAGCAAAATCAAAGAAACATTCACCTACCCAACCAGATGATATCGAACTACCACCCGTCCCTCAAATCCCAGGTATGAGACCTCATTCACCACATCAACATTCTCAATTATCAGGACAAATGTTAGTCTCACCTGTTTCAGGTGTGGGGGGATATCAACTCCCACCTGATTATCCACAACATACAGCTTATTATGGTCCTAGTGGAAATGAAGGATATCCTTATTATGGTAGTATGAACGGATATATGGTTTCTGCTTCACATGAACAGAACCAAAATCAAAATCAGAATCAGAATCATACTCAAGGTGTACAAGGACCGCAAGTGGTTCAAGGAACACAAGGGTTACAAGGGAATCCATTAGGTTATGGAGATGAAAGAAGAAGAATGTTGATGGATCAAAGAGGTGGTATGGGTATGGGTATGTGAAAGATGAGATTTGATTGTTTTTTTAGAAGTATTACGAGGGTAATTCGAGAAATGGTGTTGAGAAGGGCACGCAGGGTGTAGAGGAATATGTTTGAAGTGAATGTGATTTCTTTAGACCAATCGAAAGTTGAGACAAGTTGAGATTTCGAATATTCTTCACCATTGGATTGATTGGATGATAGGATGGATGGTAGGATGAAAGGCTGATGAGGAAGATTGTGTTTGATAAGTCGGTTCTTCCAATCGTTCGTTTTTTCTTTGTGTGATGACGATGAAACGTATGTAATTATTTGTCAAACTATCCATGCTGTACCTGTCCGTGCGTCCAAATCTGCATCATGCTCGTCAATGCTGAATAAAGTACTGGGGCGTACTCTGGTGAGAATTGACGAAGATCGTCTTGGGGATAGATGAGACAATTATAAGAAAAGAACTACATTGAATATTCATTATCGTTCATTTATTTACCCCTTCCCCTTTACTCTCCCCTTCCCCTTCACTCCCCTGCTTCACTCTCCCCTTCACTCTCCCCCTTCCCCTTCACTCTCCCCTTTCCCCTTCACTCTCCCGCTTCTTTCCCTCCTTGTCCCTGTCCCTGTCCTGATGGTGCGGTTGAACTGCCCGTAGTCTGAGTACTTCCATCTGTCTGTCCACTTTGGCCAGGTTGTCCAATCTGACCGATTTGACCAATCTGGCCAGGTTGAGCAATCTGACCAGTCTGACCCGGTTGAGAAGGTTGAGCAAGTTGACCACTTTGGCCAGGTTGAGCAGGTTGGCCAGGTTGAGCAAGTTGAGAAGGTTGAACAGGTTGACCCGGTTGAGAGGTAATTTGACCAGAAGAAACAATCGTCGTTTCACCACTAACACGTCTCAAACCTCCTCCTCGAGATCTTCCAACTCCTCTAGGTCGTTTAATCATCCTTGGTCCAGATTGGATTCTTGTTAATATATCTTGTGTTTGTGCTTCTCCCTGTGTTTGTCCCAATCCCAATCCCTGTGATTGTCCTTGTCCTTGGATTTGTCCCAGTCCCTGTGATTGAGCGTGGGATTGGGCATGGGATGGAGAAGACTCTAAAGAATCTTCGATTTCACCTTCTTCAACCAAAGGTCTTTTAACACTTTGAACAAGTGATGTTTGAGATAAAGCTGCGTTGACGGCTGAAAGTCAGTTTCCTGATTTGTTATTTGTTGAAAAGTTCAATCGACATGATCTCTATCTCCCTGGATCATCACTTCCCATGAAGAGCAAGTGAGGATCTCTTTCGAGTACTCGAGTTCCCCGTGAAGAGCAAGTGAGGATCTCTTCCGAGTGACCAAATTCCCCGAGAAGGGCAGGTCAGGATAGGATCTCTCCGAGTGAACGAATTCCCCGTGAAGAGCGTGTTTGATTGATAAAGAAAGGTTTGGGAAGGTGACCCATGTGGGATGAAGAGATTAAATTCTTTTTTGATCAGGGGTGAATAGACAGGATGAGGTTCATATGTACTACAGATAAAATATGAGGTAGGAAGAATTTTAGTGCGTCAATTCCGCATTTGGACGATGACCTTGAATAATGGGTAATGGGACAGAGTTGCGAACGTGGACTTGGTGTCGACATGTGGTAATACGGGGAAAGAATAGGGAAAAAAGTCAAGTGAAGAGTAGTATATGTAGGAGATGGAAAATGCTTCTTTGGGAACACGAGTCGAGTTGGAAGACAGGGAGATAAAGAGGCAAAGAGACAAAGAGAGGGAAAATATCCAAAAATAACTCACCATTCAATACGGGATTAGGTCTAGTTCCCACTACTGCCCTACCTCTCACAGATCTTCCACGACCACGTACCATCCCTCTGGTTGGTAAACCAGATGAAACGTTTGTATTGTCTCCTACATTCCCACTTCCTTTCTGGGCACCGTCCCCACTCTCACCCGTAGTGGCAGCTTCCTGTCCGGAAGGTTGTTGACCCACTTGCAATCCTGAGCTCTGTCCATGACTCGAGTTTGAGTCGGTGGAAGTTACGCCTTGTTGGTTCTGTCCAAAAACTTGACCAGCAGAGGGTGTTCCAACTGATTGAGCAGAACTTTGACCAAGAGCCGGAATAGAAGGTACAAAAGAGAAATTGGGAGTCGAAGTGGTCGATTGTGTAAATGCTGATGCTGGGGGTATCTGATTACTGGTGATAGTAGATGAAGTAGGATTAGAAGAAGATACTGGAATTTGATTTTGAGCAGTTGAAGATCCAGCCTCTGCCTCTCCTTCCATTTTCTTAGCTTTAGCTTCCGCCTCAATCTTTTGTCTCTCTAATGTTTTCCTTGTAATCTCAGCAGTTTTAACTTGTCTTTCCAAAGCTTTTACTTTCGATTGTAATTCTTCTATTTGTTTTTGACGAGATTCCAATTGATCTTGAAATTCTTTCTCCATTTTCTTTCTTTCCTCTTTTATCCCCTCGTCCGTTCCAGCAGCCCCGGATGATCCTTCTTTGAGTACTGAATGTGAATCCTGAGGTCCGAGTTGGATTCGTAATTGATTTCGAAGTTCATCAAGTTCAACTTGTTTATTCTCTAAAGCCTTTTTCACAGCTTCTTCAATCACTTGATTATTCACACCGACTGTATCGACGGACATGGCAGAGGTGGAAGATCGTATTTCTAACAATTCTTTTTCTAATTCTGTTATACGGTTCGTTGCTATACTTTGAGAAGTACCCAGTTCAGAAACTTTTGAACGTAGACCTATGTTGGCTTTGTTGACTCTGGTGACATTTGCTTCGTAGCGCTGAGCATTAGCTGGGTAGTTCATAGAGATATCAGGTAAGAGAAGCGAAAGTGAAGCTCGTCACAGTGTTATTGACAGCATTTGGGCGAGGAAGTCGTAAGGGAGTGTAGGCGAAGAATTCCTGAGGAATGGGGATGAAGATTTCTATGAAAGTTTAGGTGAAAAGACTCCCGAGGAAGGTTGGCTTGAAGTATACCTGAGTAAGTGAAAGTGAAGAAGGATAGAGAGTTTTTGAATAAAAGTAAAATCTCACCTGCTCCAACTCTTCTTTCTCCCTTTGCAACACCTCCACTTTCATTTGTAACTCTCTCACACTCTCATCTACTGATTCACCTCCACTCACTTCCATCCCACTCGAAACCCCACTTCCTGCCGCCTTGGCAACTTCCAAGTCCTTTTCAGCTTGTATCAAACGTCTCTGCAATTCGTCCCTCTCCGCTCTAAGAGCTTCCCCATCTCCTTCAACCCCAACCCCATTTCCGGCCCCTCCCGATGCCACGACCCTCGAACTCATTTCACTCTGTAATCTCTGTACGGTCATTTCCTTCAAACTACTAACTCTTTCAGCTTCTACCAACTTCCTTTCTGCTTCTCCCAACTTGACTCTCGTCTCTTCTAATTCTTTCTGTAATCCTTCAAGTTTCTTCTTGACATCTTCCAACTCGGTATCTTTCTCTTGGACTGAAACTGGATCTTTACTCTTTCCTTTCAACTCTTCCAGCTGTCCCCTCAAGGTCTCCACCTCAGACGTTTGTGATCGTAATCTCTCCAATTCGGTACCTTGTGATCTTAATGTTTCCAATTCAGAAGCTTGTAATCGTATATTCTCCAACTCTTTCGATTGATCGTCCAGAAGTTGTAATCGCATTTTAGCCTCTTCCACAAGTTGTTCAGCACGACGTTTCCAATTCATACCTATTCGATGCCGGTTTTCGCTTTCCGCTTTGATACGTTCCAGCTCGGATCTGAGTTCAGTGAGTTGTTGGTCGCGTGAAGAGGCGAGGGAAGTGGCGGAAGCGAGTTCAGATTGGACGGCAGAGATTGATGAAGCTAGACGAGAGTCGAATTCTTCAGCGCGTTTCTAATTGTCAGCGACGTGGATGCACAATCAGCGTTGAAGAGCAGGTTCCTCAGTGATATCAGGGGTAGTTGTACAGAAACGAAGAACGTAGGACGGGGCAGGGGACATGGAGGTGAGCCGTAGGGAGAGATAACGGAGGACAGACCTCAGCAGCACGGGCAGCATCTCTTGCTTGTTGTATTTGAGTGCGGAGTGCGGTGCTGGAGATTAGCATGGTCAAGACAAGGAGGGTACACGAGGCAACAAAACAGGCCCTGATAGGATGACAAGTCTGACAGAGTCAAGGTCGCAATCGACATCAGAAGAATTGTGTTGACAATTTACCAAGGTCACAGCTGTAATGGAAGGACAGAGACCAACAGGCGGGGAAGTAACAACGCAGAGAAACTCACCTATCCCGTTGAAGCTCTTCAATTCTTCTCTCATACCCAGCACGTTCATCCACCCTTGTTCGCTCATTCTCAGAATGTACAGTATTGAGATTATCGATCAACTGTTGTAACTTCGCTCTTTCACTTTGGACCGTTCTGAAATCTGCTTGAAGGCGATTTTCCGTGCTCTGCATGTAAATTTCACTTGTCTCTCCATGAACCCTGAAGACACAACTTTCCCGATTTCTTCTTCAATGATCTCACACGCTGGTTGAGAAATGGAGTGGGGTCACATTCTGACAACTCCAGCGTACACGTCATACGACGAAGGTGTGAGCGGGATTGGAAGCTCTCACGACTCCAGCGTAGACGCCATTTGGCTCTGTCAGGGTTGTGGGTGTTTAGATACGAGAACGGTGGACTTTCAAGTGATGGCTTAGGGTAGAAAGCCAAAGTGAAGCGATTGAGGGGATGAAGCAAGTTGGACTGACCTGCCATAAATCTTTTTCAGCTCGAACAGCGGCCACTTCATTCCTTAATCTATCAGACTCGGCTTGACGTACGGCGAGCTGTTCCAGAGCCTGTTATCAGCAAAATGCCCGGCACGTCGGACGGAGGCAGGAGAAGTTGGTAAAAGTTGGAAAAGGTATTGAAAGTTTCGTGAGATTGGTAGGTGAAGAGTCGTCAGATAGGTAAAGATTCAATAGGAGACGAAGGCTGGAGAGGTACGTTGAGACTCGAAGCAAGAGGAGAATGGGAAAATGGGTGAAGGCTTGAGAAGTACGTTGCGAATCGAAGCAGGGGGAGGACAAGAAGACGACTAAAGATTGAGAATGGCGACGAGTAAAGGAGTCGGGATGAGTGAAGTGGTAAAGACATGACTCACCTGACGACGCTCTGAATGTGCTTGAACAATGTTGGCTTGTAATGTTCTCAACTGTGATTCGAGCGATGCAAGTTCTTGTTTTTGAAGATTGTGTGTTTCAGTGGAAATGCGTTGTTGTTCTATATTGAATCAGCATCCATGTGCCATCACGGTCCATTGTCCGACTTCAAACCCAAAGCGCAAGTGACCGAAGGTATATTGGGAGGACTGAATGCTTGTGGAAGATGGGAAGAGCGTTGAAACCAATTTATTCTCAAGAAAGTGACAAACAGGGAGACAATGAGACGATGTCGCAGTGAGAAAACATGGGTCAAACTACCTACCTTCCAATAAAGAAACTTTAGCCAAAGCCTTTGCTTTCTCAACTTCCGCCGCACCAGCTTGTCTACTTTTCATCATCATTTCCTCTCTAACCTCTCCAATTTCCTTCTCAGCCTTCACTTTTATGATCCCCAATTCCGTCTGTAAATTCCCAACAGTAGTTTCCAAAACACCTTGTCCATCTTCCAAAGGACCTTTATCGTTCTTTCCTGAAACATGACTCATTCCTAACCCTTCACCTTTAGCTAATAATTTACTAAAGAAATCTCTCTCTCTAGTAACTTCTAATATCTTCTTTTGACATTCAATCAATTGAGTATGTAACTTTTTGATTGTTTCAGTAGCTTGATCAAGTGATTCTCCAACGTTGATATCATCTTGTTCTGTTGTAACTCTTCTGATTTCTCTTTCATCTAGTTTTTGCATCAACCCTCTTGTTAGACGAAGAAGTTTTTGGTTTTGTTCTTGTAATGAACGCAAAGAACGGAATTCTAGTAAATGATCAGTGATAATGTCACCTGTATCAGATACTATAGATGTAGAGTCTAAAGAAATGGAAGAGAGGGAGGGATTATCACGAATTGAAATTTGATGTAATAGGGTTTGAACTTGACGAGATAAATCAGAGGTTTCTTGTCGGAGAGAAAGTACTTCTTCATTGTGGTATGTTGAAGATGCTTGGATTGATTTTAACTGAGATTCGAGAGAGTCACGAGATGAGAGAGTGGAGGCAAGTTCGGATGCTAAAGCATTGGCACGATCGATAGCTTGAGAATGTTCGGCGGATTGTTGTTCAAGAAGGGGTTGCTATAGTGTGAGAATGACATTCTTCTCGCAATCCAACACTCATGTCCACGCTTATTTCCTGTCTTTGAGGAGAGTTAATGTCAAGAGACAAGCAGGATAGTGGTAGATCAAACCATACTCCTCCACAAACGTTCGTAAGAAAAGTATAGTGTGACAGGGGGAAGATTCTTCACTCACCTTCTCAGCAATCTCATCAGTGATCTGGTCCAGCAGATTCTCTAATCTCCGAACTTCCTCTTCCGCTTGTCTAAGTTTTGTTTCCTGAACCTGATAATCCGTAAAGAACTGAGTATATGATTTCCCACTCTGTCTGATCTCCGATGCCAATGCAGCAGCTGGACTAACTCCACTTCCATCCCCTCCAGCCAAAGCTAATCTCTCAACGACCAATTTCAAATCTTCTACTCTCTTCTCCGCTTCTTTCCTAAATCTCTCTTCTTTCTTCCACTTTTCACTCCAACTCTTCTCATTCTCCGAATGGATCATCGTCAATCTCTCCAATTCCGCCTCACGATCCATAATGACCGCTCGAGCATCATCGCCCCTTTTCTCCAACACACGGTTCTCATCTACTAACCGGTGTATCTCCAAAGATGTAGAGGCCTTTTTGGAAGCTGCGGCCGAGGTGAGAGTGGCTATGTTTGCATGAGCGTCGGCGAGTCGACGTGATTGATCGTTGAATGTACGTTGGAGAGAACGATGATTGTTTTCTATGGATGTAAGACGGGCAATGGCCGTACTGAGTTCCATCTCTAATCGAGATAATTCAGCTTGCTATTCATGTCAGCTGAAAAGAAGAATGAATTTTAAATGATTGAAAAACGGACCTGTTCCGCTCGATATTTTCCGAATCTTTCTTCCACATCCGTGAGGGATTTGTTGAGGTTGAGTATCTCTACGCGAGAAGCTTGTAAAGCCTGTACACTTCTTTGCTCATTAAACTACTTCTGTCAGCTGGTGACAATGAGAAATACAGAGACAATTGACCTTGGCTGATTCGGCGGCCATCTTGAGCTCTGAAACTTCAACATCGAGATGAGCTATCTTTTGTGACGAATCGGTTTTCTGTGCTCGTAGAGTGTATAAGTCCTCTAAGATATCATCAGCCTACGGCATGTATTAAGAAGGAGGGTTGAGTAAACTGACGAGCATTTCGATTAAGTCTCTGTTGTAATCGTTCGGTCTCTTCCAACAATTCCCTTTTCTCTTTCTCCGTTATCTGAAATGAATCAGCTCTTCCCAGCAAATATTCATGAGCTGACTCACTTGTACTCTTGTTTGTAAGACAGATAATTCTGAGGAAGCCTTATGAAAAGAAGATTGTAATGATGATAGTTGTGTACGGAGTTGATCTTGAGCCGAGACTATCCCATCAACATTTCACATCACCATATCATCCGCTGTTAGATGTGCAAAAAACACTAACCTGCAACATTCTTCTCAACCTCCAGGACCTGTTTCTCATTCCTCGCCTTCTCCGCAGCAGCCTCTAAAGTGGTTATCTTCCTCTGAGCATCGGCCAAGGCTTGTTCTTGTTCCACCAAAGCCCTGATTTCATCTGTTGACACCCCGCCTTTCTCACCAGCAGGAACGTCGGGGATATCTCCCTTAGACATCTGCGTGTCCTCCATGATACCCGTAGTAGGATCTTGGTACGCGATGAAGAGGTGTAGAGTGATGATGAGGTAACTTGGAGAAACACAAAAAGCTTGGTGGGTTGGGTGGAAAGAGGACGGAAGTAAATGTTCCTCTAATAACACTCACTTTACGTAAGCAACACACTCCACCAACCACCCACCCAAAACCTTTGCCATTCCTCTCTATCATCACTTTTCACCCACCACTACATCATGCCAGTACCACCAGACGAGTCTCTCCCTGCAGATGGTCCAGCGGCGGAGATACATGCTAGCACCCATCCCGATGGAGAACCAACAGCTCAAGAGGTCCTCGAACGATTCCAACAGCTAGGTCACGAGGCAGCAGAGGAAGAATCCTCTGATGAAGGTGAAGAGGGGAAAGAGAACGGACAGGGGATCAAAGATGCTGATGGACATGGGGAAGGTGAAGTCGAAGGTGGAGGTAAGAAGAAAAAGAAGAAGAAGAAGAAGAGTAAAGCTAGTAAAGCTATAGCCAAGCTCAAGTGAGTCATGTTCCCACCCCCGGGAGATAATCGTTAATCACTCATGATTAGAGAAATAGCCACTGGTGAAGCACCTCAAGAATTGATAGATGCTGTCAAGAAGAATATAGATTTAACTCAACCTGATGCTCCTTCAGATGGTACGCCTTTTCTCTTCTACTCTACCTCTCTCATCCTTGTCACAAAGGTCTCACGCCCCCTCGAGGCGGACCACGCAGAGAAAGAATCTGGCCTCACCCAAGACACGTTGTCACTGAATATCATCCAGGGGGACCGACTGATTGACAAAACAGACATGATCAAACAGGGACTGAAAGCTATGAACTTGGTCAAATTACTCGATGGTCAGACTGCACTAGGGAATAAATCTGGTACGAAGGATATAGGACAGTACAAGGTGTGTCACTCGTCGCCATTCCGTATTCTCTATGCTATCATGTCTTCTCACTATCGTATTTTCAATGATTCCTCAATCGGGATACCAATGAGGTTGAGAAACATGTTCATGAGACAGTTCTGGAAAACTCAACCTGTACCTCAAATGGGACAAGATAGAGAGATCATTGAAGAAGGTCCGATAGACCAGTTGAAAACACCACAAGAGGTAAAACAAGAGCCTGGACCATTACCGAGTGGGTTTGAGTGGTGTACCGTGGACATACAATCGGGAGAGCAAGTGAGTGAAACTTGACTCTCATCACATCATCTCATTCCATACCATGAACATGTCACTCGCATGCGATAGCGGCTTCAAGGTAGCTGGGAAGGCTCGAGAATCAGCTGACTGTGTAGTGCAAAGAAGTCTATGAATTACTATCGGAAAACTATGTCGAGGATGATGATGCCATGTTTCGGTTCAACTACTCGAAAGAGTTCTTACTTTGGTAAGTGCGCTCAGAAATTTTCCTCCGCCGTCTTCTCCGCTCCGTCAACTAAAAGCATGCCGTGTGGTGTGTGTTCAGAGGTTGAGAGTGTTTGAAGCTAAAGAATTAGGGCCCTGACTGCACCTGGCTACGTACCCGACTGGCATATCGGTGTGAGAGTGATCAAATCTGGAAAATTGGTGGCTTTCATCTCCGGTATCAAAGTGGAGATTCGTGTGCGGTCGCAGTGAGTAAAGCGCTTCTCTTTTCTCATATAAGTATCGCTCCCCTCCACTAGGTCTCTTCGAAAGACTCGCTCAATTCCCACGAGACTCACTTAATCCCTCTGCAAAACATTCACCGGATCTCCTGAATTGTATGCTGACCTATAGCACATTTGACTCTGCCGAAATCAACTTCCTCTGTGTCCACAAGAAGCTCCGCTCTCGTCGTTTAGCCCCCGTCCTTATCAAAGAAGTCACAAGACGATGTAATTTGAGTGACGTGTGGCAAGCCATTTACACGGCCGGAGTGTTGTTACCCACTCCTGTTTCCACATGCCGGTATGTCTATTCTTCTACCTCTCCCTCCCCCCTATGCCACTGTCGCCATCACCTTGTTCGCTCTTCCCTCTCTTGTCGTACCTCTGTTGCCCTACTTTTACCCTTCCCTTCCCCTATCTCTTCAGACTGCTAGTGGATCTATAGCAGCGTGTTGTATGGGTGAATATGATGAAACCAACGAGCAGATACTACCACCGTAATCTCAACCCTCCCAAATTAGTAGACATAGGTTTCGCCGCTCTCCCTCGTACATCCACCATCGCAAGAATGATCAAACAATACACCGTCCCTATGCAAACGCACATACCTGGGTTCAGAGAGATGGTTTCGGCCGACGTACCTCAGGTCGGAGCGTTGTTACGAAAGTATCTCACTCGATTTGACGTTGCTCAGACGTTTGGGAGTGATGCAGAGGTAGAACATTGGTTTTTGTCTGGTAAGGGGAAAGGAAGGGGGGATGGTGTCAAAAGGGATGGTCAAGTGACTTGGGCATTTGTCGTGGAGGTGAGTGATTCCTTCTTCTCTTTCATATCACACCTTCTCTTCCCTTACAATTTCTCACACTTTGATTGAAAAGTTGTCTACGTCCCAGCCTACATATAGTCATCTGAATTTTGTCCGATGACCATTTCACATCGCTTCAAAAAAACTCCCCTGCTTCTGATACTCTACCCATGCACAAATCACCTCTTACGAGTCACTTCGGTCGCCCCCCCCCCCCCCCACCAAATTGTCTATACCCTGTAGGAAGGCAAGTTTGGGCCCTCGGTTGATAGTCGTTGTAATTATTAATAAGTCCCTGTCTGGAAACTCGGATGAACCTTACATTTCGCTAAATCCGAGGGGAGGGATTGTTCGACCCGCCTTGATAATCATGGATCAGGTGTGCGTCACAAGGATACCTGTCGTATAACGGTCTAATTCGCGGAAAGAACACAACTTGCTCACTCTGCATAGACATAATAATCTTGAAGCGGCTGATCACAGGAATGAGCATGGT